ACCTTAAAAATTAGACTTGTAATTTAAAATATGAGAAATGCAGTATTTATTAAGAGAGAATAAGCATTACCTCAACCACGGAAAATAATTACTTTTTTTTAAATTTTAAATAACAGTTCAATTTACAGAACTATTTTACAATGAGAGAAAAAACACTATGCAGAACTAAACTATATTACAAGATTTAATGATGAAATTTCAGTTCAAAATACAGAAAATAAATAATAATAGGGCATATTTATTGTATTTGCTTGGAACCTAATAATAAATACAATTTATATTGATATTTAAATAATTTAAATCTAAATTCTGAACATTTTCTAATTTTTCATTGTATATCAGTTTTCCCTTAACAGATATTGCAAGCAAAGTAATTTAAGTAAAAAAGAGGAACATTTCTGAAATCAGAAGACAGAAATTTGCTTCATGCAGTCATCCTTTAACAGTAAAAGCTTAACTAACCCGCATACTTGGAAATTGGCGAATATTCGGACAGTCAAGCGTAACTTGAAAAAGGGGAGCGGAGGGGGGTAGACTGTAGCCGCTCTTTAGATTTTTCCGCTAAATAAATGCTTTTGACATTTCGATATGTGCATCAAATAAAAATAAACAAATGGAACTGAAAAATATTCTGCTTAACAAGCACAGTAAAACTCTTTTAAGTGTTTATAAACAAATCTCGGACAGAACATCAAAATTAATTATCTCTGCAAAATATCGCAAACTTTATTGCACAATACGTGTGCCGTAATTCTTCCCTACGTGATATTACGCAATTGGAATCAACAGCTGCTGGTATTGGAAGAATAAAGAACTAAATAACTGGGGTGTTTTTCATTCTAATTTTCAACAGACGGTGTTAAATTTCCGGAATAGAATCATTCTTTCGCTCGGGTTGGTAGACCGCAGAACTTTTAGTCCTATTTAATCCAGATTGGAAAAGTGACTTAAAAAAAAAAAAAAAAAAAAAAAAAAAAGTCTGTTGCTTGTTTTGCAGCGAACTGTAACAGTTTCAATATTCGAGATTTTGCGGAGAAAGGGAAGAACCTCCCAATCTTCGTACTGTATAATGTATTGGCCAAAAAAATGAAATTATTTTGACTATTCAATTGCTTTCCCTTTATTTAAGCCATTCTGAATATTATTCCTTAGAAAGCTAATCTGTGTGAAAGCACAACCATTTTTGGAAGTTTACTATACTTTAGCAGTTACTGCAACTATGTTATTATAAACATTCATACATATGCTCATAATATAAGCATAATGATCATAATAAACATGAATATGAACTGACCATGTGGAACGAGAATGCAAATTATTAAGGTCTTGATAGAAATTCACACGTGTGTAGTATTTGGTTGGGAGGAAAAGAATGCCGAATGTACCGGAATTTTCTACTGCTTTCGCAATTCTTTGACCAATAGAACAACGGGTAGCTGTCTGTACTCTTCCTGCACACCAAAGGTTATGCTAATGCAGAGAAAGGGGGAAAAGCTAATTTCCGGGAGTATGATTCACCATCTGACATTCCATATTAGGAAGAAAAGTTGTTTTAGTTTCGGCTTTGGTACGGGGGAAAAATAGCGCGTTCATTAAAAAAAAAAAAAAACAAAAAAAAGAGCACTAAAAGCAAAAAATAAGCACTAAAAACAAAAAATAAGGGCTTTAAAGAAAAAGTAAGCACCTATAAGGACCTTTATATTTTATTTTCAAGTATAAGGACTTATAAGCACTTATAAGGACCACTACGAACCCTGTTGTATGAGCAGTATGTTGCCACTAAAACCTGAGTTTCATGAGGTCTACAGTTGCCTGAAGGCAGGGCTATATGTCAAAAGATCCACTGTTTGCGTCCTGTTCACTGCAGCCCACAAGAAAGTACGTTTAGCATAGTGCAGACAATATGCGCCTTGGACCAGCCTTCAGTGAAGCACCATGCTTTTTGCAGACAAGTCAAGATTCAGCCAGGACACTGATTCCCTGTGTATCTGTATTTGGAGAGAGTCCAGAACACAATAACATCCCTCTCTTATCAGGGAAAAGAATCATTACAGTGGTGGAGATGTAGAGGTTTGAGCAGGCATTTGCTGGACAGCTGTCCACCCCTGCATGCATTTGACAAAGGCTCCCTTACTGCTATGAGATATAGAAAGGAGATCTTAAAAGCCCTGCTCATAAGATCTCCTTTCTATATCTATATCTCATATTGTCCTGGATTCCTGTTAATGGATGACAATATTCATCCACATAGGGATCAGTTGGTTGACAATTATCTGGAAAGTGATATATTCACTGCTGGGAATGGTACATCTTTTTCCCTGTTATAAATGTATATTCACACCAAATTTAATTAAAATCTGTCCATTAGTTTTTCAGAAATCAATCAGGTGCAAATTTTCTTAATTCTACATATGAGTATATACATTCATATTTATTATGTATTGCAGTTTTGTATAAAAATTATACAGTATATTATAGTGATACTGTAATATAGTTATACAGTACAAAGTCCATAGTCCGGACTCGTTGGGACTTCGGCGATTCTGGATTAGGGGTTTTCCCGGATTATAGATCATCAATTTAAATCTGGTAAGATGGCATGCAGAAATTATACAATTAAAAAATATGAAATCATAATTTATGAAATAAAGAACAATTATGATCTAAAGGGTATCAAAATTTACATAAAAAAGCTTAATATTTATTTGTTTACTTTATTAAGCATTACTTTCAATGTAAGTTGTTTAAGATGCTTCCACAAAAAGTTCCTTTTTCTTGTGTCATATATAGTGGACTTTCCAATGCCATACTTCTCACATAATTTTGAGACGGATAGGCCTTTATCCATTTTTTGCAGCAATTCCACTTTTTGTTTGATGGACATCGAAACATGCCTTCACTTTGTAGATCCTTTGGCAGCTCCAGAATTGGAAACTCTTTTTGACATAATCAAAAGTTCAAGCTTAATTTTTATAAAATTGTTCTAACAGTCTGCAAAACATAATAAGCCGGATCCAATTAGAAGATTAAGGAACAGCGCAATCTGCAACATTAACTGAAATGCCTTAGATAATTTTAGCCTAGCTTATACCGTCCATTATACATTAAACGTGCACGAGTAAACATATTATGCGTTTACGTATGTGCATAAAGTTTGTAGCTTTGAGGTCCAGATGGACGTCCGGATTACAGACTTTGTACTGTACTATTTATTATGTATTGCATATTATTATTATATATATATATATATATATATATATACACACACCACACTTCCTAGTTAATTTTCCTCCTTTTCTTTACTGATTTTACAGTTCAAAAATCAAGAGAGGAAAATTGTGTGAATAATTTAAATTCTGAAGAACAATGTTACAGTAAGAACATAACAAATAAAAAGGAATCATGGATAAACTATACATAACTGTAAGAATGTTATTTTTTTAAAAGATACCTATATTCTAATAAGAATACATAGTTATACTAACATCACAATACCTAATAATATATCTACATTTTTACTTCCCTGTAACTTGAATCTTCCTCATTCTTACTGCTGTTTCTGCTACTTCTTAAGCCTCAATTATTATAATTATAAAGGTGAATGGGCAGCTGACTCAGCAAAATTGAAGACTGAATTTCAGTTCGAGCTTGCTTCATTCTGAATGGTTTCATTCTTTTATTATGCCTGCATAAATTTCAACAGTTAGAAGGAAAAGGTTTGATGCAACATTTGCAGGTAAGTTGCAAGGGTTTGTCTTTGTCAGTAAGACAAAAACAATCACTGGATGAATCCACTTTAAAATTTAGAGAAGCTCATTCTCCTAATACATTGAGAAAAGGGAAAAATTACATAAATATTTATAAAATTTTCATAACTTTGTACTAAAATGCCAGGGGGAAAATGTGCGAGGAAATTTGAAAATACTTCATTTCCTGCAGTACCAAATATCAATCAATTTTTCAATTTTTCAAATTGCAAGGGAAAAATAGCAATTATACCCTCCTTTACAAAATTATACTGACATAGAGAATTAATAGAATTTACATTTAACCAAAATGAACTTCTTATGATTGTGTTATGATGTCATGCTTATCCACTATTGGTGCTAAATCACACAGCTTGCTGACAATGTATGCATGTTAAAATAATATTACAATTTTCTCATTTAATAAATTTTTTGAAAATTTTAAAATATTCTAGTTAGTTGAATGCTGTCGTGCTTTTACCGTATCTTTAAGAGATGCACTAAAGCAGTCCTTTCCAATCCTTTCTTTCATGTTAGTATTTTGTACATGAGTTGTGCTGTTCTTATATAAAATACACCTAACAGATATCTGTCAAGACCGCAAATGGTTAGAACAAGTTTTTATAAAACTTTAAAAAGCTTAAATTTACATCTACATTAGTCTCGGACACAGTTGAATAATTAAATCAAGATATTTAATTACAACAACGAGCAGATACAATTACAGGTGGCAATTAAGAATGAATGAATAGGTCACAAAACAGTTACTATATCATTTTAGCATTTTATGAAATCCAAACCTGCTAAACAGTTGCAGTTACTTGGGCAATACATTATGTGAATACATGTCTTTTGATATTTTTGTTTCAGAGAATATATATGCATAAATATGCAAGATGGAATACCAGTTTTTGAAATACCAGTTTTATATTTCAAAAGTTTCAATCCCAGAAGAGATTAATTATTTGCAAGAAGTCAAAGAAATCTTACCCAAACTTCATTGTACATTTTAGAAGTCCTTTTTTAACCTTTTACACATTAAATATGATTACAATAACCGGTATATTAATTGCAAATAATATTTTGATTAATCATAAATAAAATAAGTCCTATAGTTTATTATAAATTACCAGCAATGAATTCAAGTTTTTCTTTTAATTTCTTGAAAACTATGTTTAATTTATATCTAGAAATATTCAAGTACGCAGAACATGAAAAAACAATAAATAAATTATAATCCACATAGAGACTTACGAGAAGAATTAGATTTTCCTGCAATGTCAGCACTTTCTCTCAGGTTGTTTTTGAGTAATACTTGCGTACCTTAACAAATAAAAACAGATATACACATTTCAGTTAAAACTTTTTGGGTAGAAATTTGAGATCTAAAATTACCACTAAATTTAAAAAATGGCTATGATTATGACATAAAACATCATACATACCATTTAGTTCAAGCCATTTTTTTTCCCTAATATTTTTTGAATTCTTCCTACCCTTTACTAAGGAAAAATCACATTCAGCTGAATCACCAATATTTGTTATAGAATCAGAATAACAGTTATGAGAATCATTTATTTGTGATATACCACTCATATCAAATAATGAACCATCAGAGCTAGCATCGGAAATAACTGCTAAGGGGGAATGGCAACTAACAGTACTAACTGATGAATCATGTGTACTCTCATCAGTATAAACAGATAAATTTTGAGAGTTAGCAGTAGTATCTGTCTGAGATGCAACTTTTCCAGAATAACTTGACAAGTGTAAATTAGCTTTTGCTATTATATTTGAAACCGGTGTGCTAGTTATAAAACAAGAATTCAGTGATATATTCCTGTCATTAAGATTGTTCATTTCTGAAGTCACATCTGACAAAGATTTTGAAACAGAAAAAGTAGACTCAGAAGTTTTATTCATGTTTTGTGAAGCTGATTCATTAAAGCTTTCACATTCAGAAAATTCTGAATCATTTGATTGTAAACTATGAAAATCAGATTCATCTGTAAAGACAGTTTCCGTATGTCTGTAAGCCATTTTTGCTGAAGTTGAACACTGGGAATTAATTCCTTCTCTTGAATCACAAATTTTATTACTGGTAGTAATATTATCTTGTCCATGTAACGTATAATTATAACTGTTTGCATTTGCTTCAGAATTATTCAATGGTAATTTCTGAAAATCATTCAGTCTATTCAATGATAAAGAGTCATTCCTTTTATAAAGATAATTATTTTCAGATACAGGAATTTCATGTGCTATCTTCCTTCTCCTAATCAAGCCATCTGTAGATTTTGATGAGAAATAATTATTTTCAATTGGAACTTGCACAGCTTTCAAGAAGTGAAAATTTTGTTCAGAAGTGGTTTGAAATTCAGAACACTGTAAGATATCAGATGGAGATTTTGGCTGCTGAGATGATGCAATACAGTTATAATTAGCTTCATCAACTTTTTGACCAAGATTTATCCTCACATCTTTTAAAGAAACTTCTGATACATCTGAAAACAAACTATTGCACTTTTTAGAAGAGGTCATGTTGTCAGCATTGTAGCTAGTTATGTTTGTAAGAGTTTCATTATTTACAGATAAATGGCTAAAATTTGTACATGAATTGAAATAATTCTTTTGTTTTTCAACAAGAAAATTTTTGGATTTTTGCTGTAAATTGCAACAATTACAATGATATGAATTTTCTTGAACAAGATTGTTTGGTGAATATGGTACGATTTGGTTAGCATAATTAGATGCATTATCACAATTTTCACAGTTTCCACTATTTTTTTCAATAACAGGTGAAAGTACTGGCATATCTGAAAATTCAGATAAATCATTTTGGATTTTATCTCTTGAGTATGAAACAGCATAGCTTGATAAACTTGTACAATATTCACAGTTTTTATTGCACATATCAATAGAAGGAGCTAATACTGGAATGGCTGACAACTGAGAAAATCCATTTCTTCTCCACATACTACAGTTTACAGAAGGAAAAGATAAATTTGATTGTTTTTGTGTGAAGGTATTAGGATTATTTTTAGAACAGCTTTCAATAGATAATAAGCTGGCCATTTCAGTTAGTGTTTCACTTTCAGAAATATGTATCTGCGATTCTGTTGGCTTATTTTCGGATGCATTAGCATCAGATGTATACTTTTCTTCCAACTGATGTTCACTATCTTTAATTTCAATGTCACTATATCCACTATTATTTGAAATAGCCTTACTTCTTGGTAAATCATTCAAAAATTCTTTATTTATATTTTCTGTATTTTTTCCAATTTGCATTTGTCTAGAACCATTATCTGTATTATTTTCCTTTTCATAAGTTATATCTGAATTTTCTAAACTCCTGTTATTAGAAGGGCATTTAACATCACTTATTGAATTTTCTTTTGATATGGTTAATAACTTTTTCTTCTTTTTTCTTCCTTTTTTATTTACAGAGCAATTAGAAGGGCATTTAACATCACTTATTGAATTTTCTTTTGATATAGTTAATAATTTTTTCTTCTTTTTTCTTCTTTTTTTATTTACAGAGCACTTTATTCTTTTAGTGCTACACAATATACTGCAATTATTTGGATTCATAAGGCCATTCAGTTTATCAAAACATTTCCCTTTCAATGATTCAGAGGCACTGTTCAGTTTTCTCTTCTTGCTATTTTTACAGTCCTTACTGTTAATCACATTTAGCATCAATATTTTTGAATAATCCATAAGATCCTTATCCTTGATATCTGGACTACCTATGTGTTGGTCTATTTCCATAAAACCTTCATCAGTTTGTGTACCCTGTAAAAATTATTACAGATCAATAATTCTGTTCAGATAGATAATAATTTACACATAATACAGACAGTTTTGCATGAACATACTAATAAGAGATTGTTAATAAAATTATAGTTAATTTTTTTCAACTTCTTTAATTTATTACTTATTCTTACCTTGGTTTTTACCTTAGGCACCTTGAATTTCAATGCTTCATCATGAAAATTCACAGAATTATTAACAAGAGAATATGAAATATCTTTAACTGTAGGATGTTCAGTCTGCTTCTTTATTTCAGCACAAAAGTTATTGTTCAATATATTCTGCATAAAATGAGTTTCAAATTAAACATATGTACACACACATACTTAGAAAATTTATATATATGAAATATATTTTGTTTAACTCCACAAAATATGTGATTTCAGCTTTAGTTATAAAAATTAAAACAAAAACATATAAAAATATTATTAATAAAACACATTTCACACACAGGAAAATTTCTTTTGGAAATTAATTTAATAAACTACAAATATAACAGGCTAAGTTAGAATTTTAAACAATTTTTTTTTTTTCTAGCATATATCCTTTACTTTATATCTGAAACTAATCAATGTATATGAAATAATTTACAATAAACAATAAATTTTACATTTCTATTAGAAATATGCATTGCCTTCAAAATACTCCAAAATTTAATGAAATAAAGCACTCCATACTTTTGTATGCACTAACAAGAAAAAAAAAAAAAAAAAAAAAAAAAAAAAAAAAAAAATTGGAATTTCTAACTTTCTGAATAGTAAGACATTTAAGGCTTTGATGTACAGGTAGAGTAAAAAGTTTCACGTTTATTTAATTTTTCTTACACAGTATCTTCATTAGATAATGAAATGAAATGGAGATCAATAATATAAGTATAAAAAAACATAAAACACATGATCCTGAATTAATTTTTTTTGTTTGACAGTCTGTTTAATTAATTAAAATTAATTTCAGAATTTTACATTATTATTTTTTTTTTTTTTTTTGCATTTTCATATAAAGAAATGCATATAACCAAAAGAATATGAAGGAAGTGGTTAGCATGTAGCGTAGCTGCACCACAGGTCCAGGGTTCGATCTCTGGGCTCGGCAAGGTTGACTCAGCCTTGCATCCCTTGAATGGGTTGATAAAATGAGTACCAAGCTTGCTTGGGGACTAAACACTGGGGGGTCCTGCGACAAGCTACCACTTGCCCAAGGTCAATAAACCAAATTTTGGGGCACTGCAGGCCATGGTCTACTAAGGGCTGTTGTGCCACTGAGTTTAGTTTAGAAAGAATATGTAAAAATGAAATATTTGATGAACAAATGTGATTATTCAGTACTTTTAAAATTTTACTTTTAGGAAATATGCTAGAAATACTTAAAATACACCATAGATATGAAAACAAAATTTTCAGACTAAAAAGTCAGTACTATTAAGACAACTAGCATACTAATTCATTAGTTTTTATTAAAGAACATTCAACAGTTCATTTAAAACAAAACTACAATTAATATAGGAAAACATCGTATTGAAGACACTCATTTTATTCTACTGTACAGCTACCATTTATGCATTAACTGATACTTGTGATTTCATTAGGCAGCTATTAGCTCATATTTTTCAGACTAATTATTGTAGCTCATAATCATAGCCATCTTGTGTTGATCATACATTTAATTTTGTTCTATTTGCCTTTTCTTCCTTTATTTTCCAGAATTTCATAATTAAATCTCTCTGGAATTATTCAAAAATAAAATTATAAAAACAATCAGGAAATTGAGGAAATTTCACATTAATTGCTGCAAATGAATCATTAAGAATAAAAAAACAGAACTGATGAAGCAAGTTCACATTTATGATTGCCTTTCGATAATTTTACTGTTGGCATCTGTACGGTCATCCACGAGTGTAAATGAGAGTAAAAAATTTTGCTTTTTACATGCTATCATTAATGCCACTAAGGAAATGATGATACAAATCAGTTGATATCACAAATGGCCTGCATCTCCCCCATAAACTCAGATGAATGCAGTATCAGTACCATCAGCAATTTTAAGTTTCTACAGCCTTTTCATATTTTGGCAAATGAAACTACTTTATATATGTTATTTTTATTTATTTAGAATACTGTATTTATTATATTACTTTTCATTTCTGTGTTATTTTAATTTATTGTACTTTAGGCTTTGTCTTAGGTATTACAGTAATACCTCTGTATCTGTGGATAATTTTTAAGACATACAGTGGATACATAAAACCACAGATAATAGAGAATGCTATATCAAACAAAGATCACCAGCAGCCAAGCGGGAAAAATCGATGAACACTGTTAATTTGGTCCAAGATTCAAATTTCGGTGAGCAGATTGACTGCACAGATAGTTTCATGGTTTTTCCCATGCATAACCTGTATACAAGTCAATCCCCCCTTTAAAGTCCTACACAAAAGCATTCCTTCCTTTAAGCAGACAACCTTTTAGTGCTTTGCCATAATGAATAAACCAACCAGCTATGTAAAAGAAGGCCACCCAGTCAGTCACCCAGCCAGTGGTTAGGGGACCTGGTGCGGTACTAAAGTGCCCGGGTTCAAATCCCGGAGAAAGCATGCATGTTTGTAAATGTACAATGTCTTTGAGGCATGGGGCACTCTAAATATATTGAGAGCCGAAAGTCCTCTTGTGTGCTTTGGTGGTACTAAAATAGTTAATAACAGCTTGTTTCAATGGTTATATTTAGGATTTAGACATAGGCTTTCTGGCATATATTTTGAAACTTGAAAGGGCCCTTCTTCCCGCCCTGGCATCATCAAGTGTGAATAACAAACTACAGATACTCAATTTGCAAAGCTTATAGTTATAATAAATGAAACACGTATGACAAGTTATTAATAATTGCTCCAGTTGAAACTTGCATTAGTATGTATGCTAGGTGCTTGGCTATTTACGAAAAATACGTTTAAAGTAAACAAACATAGCAAAATGGACTTCACAGCAGAAGGTATTCTATGCATTATTATTTGCTGAATTCAAAACTGTGATCTTGGTGTAACATGCATTTCATCATGTATAAAACCAGGGATGTTATAATAAGATACTGATAAATGTAAGACTTGTGAAATGGAACAAACTGTTAAGAAATGCCTACAGTATTATGCCTAAGCATAGAAAACATTCAAAGAGAAATGTGTTTGAGGACAATGCGGTGATAATTCACATAACCTTTTACAGAGGTCTAAGGAAATACATTAGATAAGCAGTGATGAACTCACTGCTGTAGGAAACAAAAACCTATGTTTACAGGCTGCAAAATTCAATCTATCCCATGAACAAACAAAAGAAGTAATCATTTGGTGTGGCCATAATGCCAAAAATGGAAGAGGATGAATTCCAGAGAACTGCATATTTCTCCGATGAAGCTAGATGTCATGTTAGTGGAACGTTGATTAGACAGACTGTCAGATATGGGAAAAATCCCTATGTAGTTTCTGAAACTGAATGTGACTCTTCAAAAGTGAATATGTGGTGTTATGAAAAACAGGATCATACGTTCATTCTTTGTTGTTGAATAGATTTAGGCAAATTACCTTGTCACACTGGATTTTCTTTTTGCGTAAGCTTCTTCGAAGTATAATTTTTCATTGGGATGGAGCCCAACTATATATTGAAAATATTAATAAGTTTATCTGGATGATGGATTGGATGGGATTAAGCATTTCTTGGCTGGCCTTGATTGGTCACCTGAACTTTTCTCACTACATTATTTTTTTTTTCTTTTGGACTACCTTAAGAATCTTATGTATTGCATGCCTTGCAGAACCTAAACAATGTGAAAACCAGAATTCATCAGGGAATAAGCAGTATCATGCCTACTAGGCTATTTAACACTGGATAGAGTTGAAGGTATAGGTTAGATATCTGACATGCTGTTAAGGATGTCCATATAGAAGTGCACTGGTATTGTTAATGCCAGTGATGAAGCCAATCTCTCATTTAGTGATGTGTAATGAGCAGTTATTGTGCATCCGGATACACCTTCATTTTAGTCAAACAGATTTTAGGAGAAGGACTTCTTCTTTTAACTTATATAAGCGGGACTTCACAGTTTCGTTTGAAGTACCAGAACCCTTAAATTTTTTTTGATAATTAATAGTAATTACTTCATAGCTCATTGCCCTTTTAAGTTATGAAATATTTCACAATAATGTTCTAGTTTAGGTACAGGAAATTTGTATTGATTTAATGAATTAAATAACTAATTTAAGGCTCTACTCTTATATGCGCCCTAAGGTTGCCAAATGCGGCGATATGTGTTGTGTGCTGGATTTGGGCACGACTGTGTGTTTTGTTCTATGATGATTTTGGGGTCGATGTTGGTTTCTGTGGCAACCCTTTTTACGTGGAAACTTGGATTTGCTAGTTGGTTCATGTGGTAATTAAGTGATTTATGACGTGTTGCCAAATTTTAGTCGCATGCCTGGTACAACTATTTTTTCGGGTGGCTGGAAATTCGACAAGTATTTAGGAGAAAAAGGCTTTCAACCTTTATTTGTGAAACATATCAATTTTGTGGATAGTGAGTCTGGCTGTCATATAAATATGATAGAGATTACATGGCGACGTTGCCGACTTAGAATCGGAAATGCGATTTGGAGTTTTATTTTGTGGTTTATAAATTTTTCATCGTTGTTCTGAAACGGGAGAAGATGCTTTTAACAAATTTGTGGTGAAATTGTTTTGGTATTGTTTGAAATTGGTATTTCTGCTGTTCAAAGAAGCATTTATTTATGGTAAGTGCATTTTGTTTTATTCTTGTTCTTATTTAGTAGAATGTTAGGTTCATTGTTTTATTAATATGAATTTCTGTCATTATTGTTTTTTTATTGTTTGAAATTTATTTTAGTTTATTTTGTTGATTAGTGCGCAATGCCTAGATTGTGCAATTCGTAGATATTTTTGAAAGTTTAAACAGAACGCTGTATATGTGGTTTTGAAAGTTTAAACAGAACGCTGTTATGTGGTATATTTTAATTTATTGTACTTTAGGCTTTGTCTTAGGTATTACAGTAATACCTCTGTATCTGTGGATAATTTTTAAGACATACAGTGGATACATAAAACCACAGATAATAGAGAATGCTATATCAAACAAAGATCACCAGCAGCCAAGCGGGAAAAATCGATGAACACTGTTAATTTGGTCCAAGATTCAAATTTCGGTGAGCAGATTGACTGCATAGATAGTTTCATGGTTTTTCCCATGCATAACCTGTATACAAGTCAATCCCCCCTTTAAAGTCCTACACAAAAGCATGAATTGTACACAAAGCTTGAAATTTATGTTGTTATGTTAAGTAAGATATTAAAGTGAGGTGCACGTAGTTTGCAGATTCCTTTGCTGCCTAGATTGTGCAATTCGTAGATTTTTTTTAAAGTTCAAACAGAAAGCTGTATACATGGTATTCTTTGAAATTTATTGTTGTTATGTTAATTTATTTAAGCTAGGTGTGCATAGTTCGTTGATTCCTTCACTGTATAGATTGTGCAATTCTGTGATTTTTTTTTAAACACTATTTTTTTTTTTTTTTTTTTTTTTTTTTTTTTTCAACTTTTTTTTTTTTTTTTTTTTTTTTTTTTTTTTTTTTTTTTTTAAGTTAAAACATATATATTACTGTGTACAGGGAATGTTGTCAAATATTTTTGGTTAGAAACTTTATGTTTTTGCTATCTAAATTTTTTGTTTCAGAATTTTAGCTTAAATTGTGTGTTCAAAACGTGGTTTTTGTGTGTGCGAAAATTGTGTTTTTGCAGACATTTTAGGCTAAAAGTTTGAAATGTAGAAAAAAAAATTAGGTAGTAATATGACGGCGTGAAGTTTCTCGCCAAAAATGTTTGGTGAGAAATTTGTCGCCGTATTTGGTGACCTTAGGGCGCATATAAGAGTAGTTCCTAATTTAATATTTAAATCTTACATTCATAACTTTATAAATGTTAAACAAATAGAAAAAAAAATGTAATAAATTAGCCAACATCTGAATTCTTTGATAATTACTTTATAAAATCTTTGAATTAATCTTTCAGATTTATGAAACACTTATTCATTTACTAAATGTTTGTTTTTATTTGCTACCTGCTTAATAATTATTACTGTCTTAATATAAATATTGAATGTTGCTTTACATTCAAAAATTTGGTTTAAAATATTTAGAATACAGACACAAAATTTAAAAACTGTGAAAAATTCAGGTTTGAAAGCTAGCATTCACAATTTTCCTCTTCATAATTATATTATGCAATAAATTTTGGGTAAAATTTTATAATATCTATGACTTACTTGTAACAATTCTTTATAAAAAGAATTTGGGAATTTTCCCTCCAATAACTGTTTGGTAGTGTTCTGTAAGCTCATTTTACTTGTGTCTATATTAAAGATTGATAGTAAATTTATTACATTAGATGGAGGTTTGATTTTCTCAGCTATAGTTGTAATGGCTACTTTTCCAACTTCACTTTCAAAAAATATTTTCAATCTTCTGAACAACATGATAATTTTCAGATATATCACAGGCTCTGATATGCTTTCAATACTTTCTTTACATAATACATGTCTGAAATCAAAGAAATTTTCATTAGTGTAGATCAGTTATTAATTGCAAATAAAAATTTAAAATATATGCATACTGTTAACAAATTGCTAAAATTTACATAAGAGTAGAAAAGTCATGCATTAAATATTATTGTATTTAGTTCATGTATTAAAATGATATGATTCTGTATTAAAAATAAATAAGATTCTTAATGATGGCCAATTTATTATTTCATGCTGATTCAGTGTTACAGAGCTAGAAGAGGACTAAATTTGTTATACTACAACAATACTCAATACAGATACTAAATTTGAAATGATTCAGTAACTGTCAAGCATTATCAAATGATTTCATGCAAATAAAAGTATTTTAACTTCAAACTTGGACAAAGCTAATTTGAATGCAGATGGGGATAGATATATATACATACTGAATGTCTGCCAAGTAATATATTTTGTAAAGGTATCTTTAAATGAAACATTCAGTTACAGATCATTTAAATTTTTAGTTGTTCTATTTTATAGAATTCCATTATAGAGGATACTTGGTTTTGTATACTTATATGGACAGCAAAAAATATTCATAAAATTGAAGTTTATAAACAGGAATGGTATTAACAGATTATAAAATTTTGGGGACAACTGCTACAGATCCTAAATTGGAAATAAAAATGTTGAGTTTATAGCATGAATTCAGATTCATAAAAATCGAGTATCAATGAACTTATTTTACTTCAAAATGGCAATGCAATAACTATACTATCAATTAAAGCAATTAATTTCTTCTTGATATTTTTATAGAGAAATATACATAAAACAATTGTACATAAAAAGAAAATAAGCATGAAAACAGTAGCATGCCATCAATGGACTAAAAGGTCTTTTAAGTTAGTCCTCTAACAATTTAGGCAGTAACACACTTTCTCAAGTAAATTTTTACTTAAAATTCAAAAGCATTAAAATGAACTTCATTTCATATCTTTTTAAAATTATGCAACATTAGAGTATAGTTAGAATTTCACATGAATTAGATTCACTTCAGTTTTGCCAGCTTAAGGACAACTTACTTGGTCTTATAATTGTTTTAGACATGCTGTTAATTGCCAATAGTAGGTCATAAGAAATTTCAATGGCTGATAATTCATTTAAGCAAACTAAATTTAATTTTTAGGATTGTGTTTTAGTGTGTGCTCGTGAAAGTTTTCTAATGATACATGGAAATAATTCAAAATAAAATATATTGATGCAGTGACTCCAAAGAAAGTGGTAAATAAAAGATTATAAAGAAAAAAAGAAAAGTAATAATTTAATTATAAAGAAAGTGGTAAAAAGAATGAATTCCCAAACAAGAAATAATTATAAAAAATATGCAAGGAAGCTATGAGCCTGTTTTATAATAATTAATTGATCAGTTGTTGCCATTATTACAAACTTATGGCCTTTACTGCCTTCCATCATTATATTTTCGAAAGGAACAGGAAATAATTACAAAAGTTAGTTGCAAACTTATATGTTCTCATCTATATGAAAATGAAACATATATGTAATTGAAAAGTGAAATACTAATACAATTTCAAAATAATGAATGATATGCAAATTAAGAAAATAATCTATTTTGCTGGCCTCACATTCTTTCTGAGATAGTTCTAAGGCAAGTTTAGTCTGTGCTATTTAATCAATAAAAATTAACATGAGTGCATTAATTCTAACAAAAAATGTTAATACTAGAAAACAATGCAGTACAAAGTTCGAGATCCAGAATGATCAAAATTTTAATGATTCCAGATTTTATATCATCAGTTTTTAAATCTAGTAAAAGGGCATGTAGACATGGCAGCATTGGGGCTCATTTACCGCTCAGGTCAGATTGAAAAGTGCCAACTTACTCCTTGCCTCTACAGGGCTGGTGGCAGAGCTGGTACAAACTGGATGGAAAATTTTAGAATTTAGAGCACAAAGCAGCAAAAATTAAAGATGGCACAGATTTTAGAATTTAGGAAAGGCACTAGTCAGCAGAATTTAGGGACAGGAAAATTTTTAGAATTTAAGACACTCAAAGTGGTAAAACACATAGCACCATCCCTGTCCTTCCTCCCACAACCCCTCAAGGTTCAAAAGTGTGATCTTGGCCAACATCAACAGGAATTTAAACAATGTATTTTTGATAGCCTAGCCAGCATATGTTTGAAAATTATATGTAGGAGTCTTGGTTAGGAGAAAAATCACATTTATTGCACCCCTGCATCCTTAAAATTTCCATTCCTACACTTGGGAAGATTTGTTTATTTTATATTATTTATTTATTTTGGTTGGTGATGTGGTGGTCCAGATATTAGATCATTCCAGATTTTGAACTTTGCACTGTAGATACAGTTTTTGAAAGTTCAGCACTTTTGAGAATATATTAATATTATTAATTCTTTTCTTAATTCATCTGGATTGTTAAGAACATACAATTCTCTGGATACATTTTAATGTGTTCCAAAGCTGAAAGTTGGTTATCATACATTTTTTTTAATGAATTTTAATTTGACACCCCTTCTAGTTGTTTACCCAAGGCAAGTGCCTTACTTGCTTCATTCTTGTCGTGATTTTGATCATAAGAATAATTCTTCATTTTATTAATCAACAACTATCTCATTAGCACAATTCTTGTTTTAACTTGGGCTTTTAACATTTGCTATTTATAGAAAGATTTCACTTTTATGACGGATAGTTGAGGATGAATGAAAAATTTAATTTCTTTTTATTTCTTGTCAGTCTGGTCAATGAGAAAATCAAAGTTACAATTAGCACAAAGGGCATAAATTAAATTTGATACTATATAAAAACCTGATGGTAATTTTTTTTTGCACTACGTTGATTTTTTAAAATTTTCTACTAAATTTGTTTTTGCTTAAGTTTTACCAGTTCATTACATAACTTAAATGAACCAAGAGCATAAAGAAGATTATGTTAAAAAACAAAAACCCTAATTTTATTTCCTGGTTTTCCCACCTTTATGCAACATTCTGAGGACAGATTATTCAGGTTTTGATTAAATCTAAATGATCACCCATCATTTCAACCACAGAAGAGTTAATTTTTGGAATTATTTCCTTCAAAAAAGAGTTTGATTAAAACTGCAACCATCAGGGATCTAAGATATGAATTCCTAACTAATCTGCTATAAAAAATGTGATTAAAACTCGTTTTACAACAAATGAAATAAAACAAAATTGATAGACTTAGTAATAATTTACACTTAAATTCAGGAAAATCAATTCTTTAACAGAGGTTCTATATACAGATTTACACAATGTATACACACACACACAAACAAACAAACAAATCTGAAAGGTTTCAGATTTTAAATTACGTCCAAAGGGTTTTTTTTTAAATCTTGTGTGTTACCATTATTTCTTAAATATAATGTTCTTTGCACTTAAAATTCAGTTCAGTAGCAATGTTGCAAAATAATTTTAAAATGAGTATATCTTTAGAATTTCCGATATACAGCTCCTCGCACTGGAGACAAAAAGGTCCCCCCCTCCCCCGTAGAGTGTTGAAATCCTTGAAATTGTTAATCAAAAATTCGTTAAAGTTTTACAAAATATGAAATCAATAATAAAACAAATTCCAAATTTCAAATTTGATCTTCCACACGCCCATATTCGTAGGAGGATTAAGTCATTCAAAATTCGATGGCTCTACGTACCGTTGTTTTATCACAATGCGAGAAATATACATACATTTATGCAGATTTTCCATTATTTAATTCTTCAAATATAATGCAAATTCTTTACTTCAAAGAACAAAAGTTTGGCAATAGTTTTGAAAAGTGATACAAACAAACATTCATATGAACCAACGCAAAATCGCGAAACGAAAACAATAGTCCTTCAGGACAAAGCCCCTTTAATTTAAAAAAAAAAAAAAAAAATAGTAAAATAATGTAAAGAAATGCAAATTTTATTTCTGCAATTAAAATATTCAAAATTCAAATGTTTTAAAATTATTTTTTTCATCCATTCAGCATATAAATAAATATTAAAATCCATTTTTCGTTCTTCCGCTGAGTTTTAGATAAATATAACTCAATTCTTACTTTAAAATGATACTGTAACAGGGACGTTCTTTCTTTCTTAAATTCTTTATTAAGAGAAGAGCATTATACACAATTTCACTGTCACCTATAAATGGCAAATAAAATACAGTTAATACCTTGATTACAAAAATACTTTCATGCAATATAAACTTATACAAGACAAAAAAATATATTTATCAGTAGTAAGGTGATAATGAAATGAGTTATATTATAAAACAAAATATTAAAAATATACAGAGGAATTATATTTATCCAAATTGCTTGAATCAGAAGACTTTTATCACCCTCCCCCAATAATTAATAGCCAGAATTTAAATTACACTGCTGTGAAAAGGTTAAACTGTCTATCACATTCTGATGATCTGTAGTTCATTTATTAAAAATAAAATTAAGGGGCTGCAAAAATGGTGGATTTTAAATCAAATTAAGAGAACTGAATAAAATAATTCTCATATATAATATTTCTTTTAGTGTTCCTTGAAATTCTGTTAATATCCTAAAACAGTTCAGATACCTGCTGTAAATTAAAGGCTAAAGATAGAAATAAAATGTAACTGAGACTTAAAAATTAATAGAAATTTGTACAAAAGCATTAGTTAACATAAATTACAATGTTTGGCAGTTGATCATTTGCAAAACACTGAAATTAAAATAAAATTCATGGAAATTCGAAAATGATAGAGAAGAAAAGTCATCTTTTGTGGGAAATTTTTTTCTTTAATATGGTGTATGTTTGGAGAGATAGGCATACCTAACATGTTGATTTTACAGATTTTACACCAAAGTGTTGATTAAGTCTTCCAGAATTGCATGGTACTCTTCTAAAAGTGCAATTTTCAGCTCCTGAAGGATCCGGGAAAGAATTTGGCGGCCAAAGGCCTCCCACGCATGCTGAATCGGGTCCAAGTCGGGTGAATAAAGTGGCCAATCCATTCGAGTGTTAGCTTCTGTTTACAAGGATTCAGACACCATATATGCTCGATGAGGCCAAGCATTGTCATCCATTAGCAAAAACTCTGTGCCAACAGCATCCCTAAACAGTCTAATTAGGGTTTCCAATATCTTGTCCACATATATCTCTGAGTGGTTATAGAACCTCATTGAAAGATATGCACCTCAGCGTGGCCATTTCTCATGTCCCCCCCTCAAACCGCGGCAGCGAAAATGGAATATTTCACGGACAGACAAGAGCAAGTTGCATGTTCCTTCTTCTCTCCAGATCAAAACATGTGTTGAATCACTGTTCAGATTACATCTGGACTCATTGGTAAATAACGTTCGGGCAGTCATCTTGGCTCCATTGAACATGACGAAGGCACCAGTTTAAATGAGCTTCTTTGGAAGCCGGAGCGAGTGGTACACAAGTCATTGGTTTTCTCCTGCACAGTGCAAACTCATTAAGTGCTTTGTGCAGCCGTAGAATAGCAATTTCGAGTTCTTGTGGTAGCCTGAAGGTCTAAAACCGAATCTCTTGCAGTTTCTTCGAGTCAACAATGACAGAAAATGGTCTTCTGATACAGTTATTGACCTTGATTGCCCTTGACCATGCTGTTTATCAACTGATCCAGTGCTTAAAAAGTGGCTCCTGATATGACACTTTGTTTTGACCTTTCTCGAATCTACCAATTATTTGCCACTTTTGACCTTCACTTAAATGATGCCTTTGAGCCATAACTACTGAACCATATTCACTTTAAACAACATTATAGAATGGAATTTGAACATGCATCCATTGCGTACCACATTGTCAATCACTGAATTTGCACAAATCTGGTGCAAATGTATATGTGGAAGTGCAAATTTGTGTTCAGTTGAATTTAATTAATATAAATAATTACGGCATTGGGCACTAGTTGCAACATTAATTTAGTGAGCATATTTTTTTCTCATTATCCTTTAATTTTGATGATCAGTGTATAAGAGCCCCTTGATGCCTTCAGGGAAAACGTTTTAGAAGAAATTGACTCATACCCATGTTATAAATGGGAAAAACCACAAAATTTCCCAAGCAGTCAGACCATTGCAAGGATCTGAACCTACATTAAACTACTCGTGTTCAGTGATTTTACCACTCAGCTACTATTTGAGAGACCCATGATTTTATTTTTATATGACAAGACTATTATAAACAGCTAAAAATATTTTTTTTTTTTATTTTAATACATTTGATCAAAACAATTTTTGTTTCATGCTTTATTTTTAGTTAAGAAAATTCAGAAAGGTTGTAAATCATTGCCTTTGACCACAGAAAAATTTTTCTTTCTAATGTGGCATAAGGTTACGTTCAATTCATTTCAAATTTTGTTTGATACAGAAATCTGATCTCACCACCACTTAAAAATTGTGGATCTACTAACAATGAAAGACTAAACCTTTTTTAAATAAAAAATCCACCATTGTTACCAGTCATATGACAGTTAAAGTGTTGAAGAGCACTTTAATAATTTTTGAAATATTTCCGAATTTCTGCAAATTAAGTTCAAATTCCAAAGCATATCATTTGAAAGACTACTTTTTGGTACAGCTGATGATATAAAGACGAAAATCAAGAGATGCTCAGTTTGATCATTAAACACGAAGCTGTGAAAAAATAAATATACACTATTTGAATGATTACTTTGTGTAGAAAGCCCAAAACTAATGCGTATGTGTTAAATAAAATCTAACTTAGCTTCAAAAAGCATTAAAATATTTAATATTAATTTTTCTAATTTTAGAGTTTTATTGAAAATCTATGTCAAATTGAGGCTACTGTTTTACTTAATTTTAAACATATAAAATTATGCATACAAAAATGCTTAAATAAATATAGTATATATATATATAACATTTGCAGCCACAAATAACTTACCACACCATTTATGCCTGTTCCAAACCATTTATATTTTTGATAGCTTTGTAATAAGAAGAGAAGTAACATACAGCAGCCTAGTTATGGCGAGAAGCAGAAGTGAAGTGTGTTGCGTTCAGGATGAAATCTTAACTCAGAAGGAGTTAGTTTCAATTTTGATATCATTTTGAATGGCTAATTAATAAAGCTCTAAAATGATTACTGGCTATTTGAGTTTTAGTATGCAGAAACTTTACATAACTAGCATTATGTAACTGTTACATGATATGGATTAATCTGGATATGTGCAGTCCAGAGAGGTTTATTATAAGCAAATGTTATATTTAGAATAAAACCTGTTAATACTAAAATTAAAATTGTGTTTTAAAGGGTTATTGTAAATTTAAAGTAGAATTCTGATTTACACATTTTGTATTTTATACATGGGTAAGATAAAAAACTGTAAATACTATTACAGGTTTTGCATGTTTGTAAATAATTTTAGTAAAATTATACGGTACAAAGTCCGAGATCCGGACAGGTCGGGACTTCCGCGATTCCGGATTTTCCTGGATATTAGATCATCAGTTTAAATCTAGTAAGATGGCATATAGAAATTATAAAATTGAAAATATGAAATCGTAATTTATGAAATAATGACGCATTTATGATTTAAAAGGTATCAAAATTTACAAAAACGAAGGCTTAATAGTTATTCGTTTCAGTTACAAAGTTCCATTGTTGAAGTCCTGTAATTGTGTCGAGAATTAAGAGTAACTTGTCAATCAAAATTTTTTTCATTTTCAGTAACTTCTCTGTCACTTTCTTCACTATCGGTAGCAGTATTTTCTGGATCTAGAACCACACTACAGATTTCACCATCCATCGATTGATAATTGAGAAGCACTGTCATCACAATGAAAAACTTCTTTTATATCATCTTCATTTATTACAGCTTGTCCACATTTCTTTACAGAATCCGTTAATTGGAAAATTTCACCTTCGGTTAACGATATCCGGAAAACTTTAAAATTAGCCTTTAAAATCTTAAAATTTTTGGCGGCCAGGAAAAAATTGTATAAGCCTGAAAAGAGCATTAGTTCTTAAGTTTTTAGTTCAGAGGTGACTTCAGAGTGTTGAGAGATCAAGGGAGCTTCACTCTTTGGATGCACTTTGCATTGTGTTATGTTTAACATTATTAGAAATTTGAAGTAGTAACTACTGATTGTGCTCTGTTGTACTGAGAAGAACTGTATGAGTACTTTTGTGGAAAGTTCTAGAACTGTAAAGCGTTTCTGTTGTGAAAATAAATTTTATCAAGCTATCATCAGTACTGTGCTCATTCAATCCATTATGAGCTAGCAAACATGCAAAAATATGTAAGATATAAAAAAAATATGATGGAAATTTATTAACAAATTAAACTTAATTGGAACAATTTTGACAATGGCCTTAAAATTTCTAATTTTATATGAAAGCACAACCCCCTTCAAAGCATTTGAAGTTTCCTTTCAGTAACTGCACTGCTGTAGACTTTTGCTCTATCGCTGCTCAGGATTTAAAGAAAGCATTCCGAGGTTATAAACAGTATTGCAACTAACCCTGCATACTCTTTTGTCACTTTGCCTTCCTGCCGGCAACCTGTCACTTAGCCTCTGCAAGCTATTATTTATTAGTTAAGATGCAATTACACATCTGAATTGTTGGGCATATTTATTAAAAAAAAAAGGCATCCAAAAATAAATGATGTTTAACTAAGCTGGTCTTGCTTCTACCAAAATTCCATCCACTACACATCAGTTTCCTGTCACTTAATAGCAGTTTTTCTCGGACATGAATAAAAAGAAATTGGTTTCTTTTTATTCATGTTCAAATGAATATTATAAAAGTTCTATCGACATACCAACAAAAAATATTACATCTTTTAGAGCTGGCAGGATATTTAAATCTATGTAGCTGATCCCAATGGAAAAGCATCTGCAAGTTCAAAACTGTTTCAAAAGGAAAGAATGATTAGTAGATCCATTAGAAAGTAACAGCTTTCATGCACATTTAGTATCAGCGATAAAGTGACAACTGGGAAAAGGAAACTGGACATCAACACATGATTTTCAGTTTTAAATTTCTTTTTTCCTTTTGAATTCTAAGTGTTGCTAATACTACTTATTACTACTAATTATATAGTAGGTAAGTTTGAATGTTATAGAAATAAGATAACCACACCCATGAAGATTAATAGCCAAGATTACTTCATTACAAGCAGATCTAGATCACATTCCTAGCTGAGGAAAATATATTAAAGGAGTCTAATTAAATTGTTGATGTTAACATTGTCTAAAAACTTCAGCAATATAAATAATAGGTTTTAGGTGGGATATAAAAAAGCAGTTTTTACCAAATTAGTATTTTGAATGAAAAAATAAATTTGATAATAATATAAATTTACCAGGTAATATTTTGATGGCTGTTAAAATTTTATCCATCCACTGTGAAGTTGCATTTCCATCACTTAAAATAAGACCAACAAATATCAAACAGTGTAGGACTTTAGCACAAAAAAAATTCATTTCAGAAGAAACCTAAAAATAATTTCAGTTAATTAGTTAAGCATAATCAATTTGGTTTACATGAGAGTAAAGTATTTCAAAATAAATTATATGAGCAAATTGAATTTATGGATATTCATAGCAAAATTACTAAATTTAAGAGTTCTGTTACCAAATCAAATTCAGCATTCAAAACTTGCAAAAATTCCACAAATACAGTATTCAAAGTTATGTGTGCTCAGTTAAAACCCTACACACTGATAAATTTGTTATTTCCCTAAAGTCTAAAATTATCTTTATGTGCATAAAAACTATGTCTCAAAAAGTATGGAATAAAATTTAGTGCATTTACTTAATATGATACATAGCACCATAACCCAAAACACAAACTAAAACTTGATGAGGAATGCATGCAACATAAAACTAGATCATGAAACTTCAGCTGATATAATATGGAATAAGAATACCTTGGAAAAAATGAATACTTTTGATATCAATAGGCAGTTGGATTTCTATAACTTATATATATTAAAACATTTCTCTGTGGTTGATGTCTTGAGAAGTTAACTCCCTGAAGAAGATGTCTTGAGAAATGTAAAATCCATTTGTTTTTATTTTTAAAAATTGTTTTAATTAAAAAAAAAAGTGTTTTATTTCTCGAGTTTTTTAAAGTTATTATTTATTCATTCAAGTTCATTTTTGCTCAGCTTTGCTTTAGCCTTAACTTTCGCCCCTTTCTGTTTGTATGACTGCATTTTTTAAAACTTTGCTTTTAATTTTAATTTAAATTTACCACAGGATTATTAAATTTTTAAGGATTTTTTTCCACTAGTCAGTTTATGCAGTAATTGTTTGCACTTTATTACCATTTCTTTCTCGTCTTAATTTGCCTAACTGAATATAATATTTGAATTTGTTTCGAATTAATTAAAAATTATTACCATTGAATTAGTATGGCTTTCTCACATGATTTAGCCTCAGGTTTATTTGAACTTACTATTTTTATTATATTATACTACATATAAGCAATAATTTAAAATACTATTGGAGACAGATATTAAATCATACTATACACATACTTGGAAGTTATGATGGCACACTGTAGATTCATCATGATGAAGCTGCAAATATGGCTAAATTAATACAGTACAAAGTCTGAGATCCGGACGTCCTCAAAACCGGCAACAACTTTTTTTTTTTTAAATGCTTTACACATGCGCATTTGATTTTTTTCCCTCGCAGATAAAACATGCGGACAGTCCCGATTCTTAACTTCTCTCTAGAACTAAATAAATACCTCATTGAAGGCGTAATGATTTAGCATAAATTTGTGTGATCAAATATAATTTATCTCCGTAGCTGCGAATCTGCTTGGTATTACATCCGAAACCAAAACATTCTAAATAGAAATGTCATTGATTTTATACCTATTAATATTTTATATCCTTGATGCCAACCTAGTGAATCATTATCTATTATATTTTGCTTTCATCACTACATGTTTATCAATACATGACAACATGAGTAATGACTCAAGCAATTTTTTTTTTTATATTAGTACAAAGATTATGGTAATCTATTATATTATGTTGACATTTCATTTGGCATTGATTACACATTTAAGTTAAAAGCGCTAAGAAATATTGACAAGGAAAAATTTAACAAAAATTTCTTTCCATATGCTAAAAATAGATTTTGTTAATGATACTCATAGACCAAAAGATTACATTTAGTGCTATTTGAATTAAGAATAACTCATTTGTTTTTCATATAAACCCAGAACCAGCGCCAGAGCTCATATGGCCATACCGGGTGGCAGAATTTAGGGAAGACAAGATTTTTGGAATTTAGAGAAGCACCGGGCAACAAAATTAAAAGGTGAAAATAATTTTAGAATTTAGGGAAAGCACTGAGATCCAAAATTTAGGGACACAAAAATTTAGAATTTAGGGAGGAGCTTGGTAGTCAAATTTAGGACATGCTGAAATTGCATCAGGTGGTAAGATATCTAGCGCCGGCTCTCGATAAGCCTTAAGTATATGTGAGAATTTTTTATTCAGGATTAAGATAAGCCTTAAGCATGTGTAAGAAATAGACGTTAAATATAATACATAACTAATAACAATTACGCTTAATTCTGTAAGTGCGCGATAGAAGCAAGACAAATTTTAGCAGAGCAACTTGTCTTTCGTCCCCAATCTCATGATACAATGTATAGCGAACACTATTAAGATGGGCTAAAATTATACTTTACAGATTCGAAGGAATTTCAGCCAATACAGCAGATTGCACTATTCCTCAACTTTCTGATCTGACCCAGCTTAATTATTTTTTGCAGACTGTTTTTAACTACAGCAATTTGATGAAAATTAAAGTATCAAGTTTTAATCATGTTGAAAAGAGTTTCTAATTCTAAAGCTGCAAATAGGATCTACAAAGTGAAAGCATGTTTCAATGTCCATTAAACAAAAAGTGGAATTGCTGCAAAAAATGGATAAAGGTATATCCGTCTCAAAATTATGCAAAGAGTATGGCACTGGAAAGTCAACTGTGTATGACACAAGAAAACAGAAAAATAAACTTTTTGAACTTTTGTGGATTCTGACACCCCATGCAACAAAACAAAAATTATTCATTATGCTGAATAATTTGACACATTTTCATTCTTTTAGATAATTGGTGCTTTTTTTAAGCTTTAGCCCTTAGAAATGAATGGAAAGGATAGTCTCGGCGAGTTTTCTCTCGATGACCTGTCAGATTGTCTTGACTGCCATTCAGTAAGTAGTACTGATGACGAAAGTGATAGCAGTAGTATAGCCATTCGAAAAGCTACGTCCTGTACCACTTAATATACAGTGATTCAGAAGATGAGGACATGAATAATAATGTTGAAGACAACAATGATACATGGTCAATGAACGACAAGAGTACAATTTTGGAACCTTTTCGAAGGCAGCTCTGGCGTAAAAATTGTGCCAAGTTCCTTCGAAAGCGTAATGTATATTGTGAATTTATTCATTGGAAGTGACCTGATTGAGCACTTCGTGAGGGGGTCTAATAGATATCATTATCAAATTGTGGAAAAATATAGAATTGCATCAAAAACGAAAAAAATGGAAAGACGTCACAGTGACTGAAATGAAGAAATTTTTGGGCCTGATCATTCTCATGGGACAAGTAAAGAAGGACATTCTCTACAATTATTGGTCTACAGACCCATCTATTGAAACGCCATTCTTCTCGAAGGTTATGAGCAGGAACAGATTTTTACAAATAATGCAAAGCTGGCATTTTTGTAATAATAACGATATTGCTCCCAATTCGCATAGGCTGTTGAAGGTCCAGCCTGTCATTGACTATTTCAAGGAAAAATTTAACAACGTATATAAACCAGATCAACAATTGTCTCTAGATGAACGTTTAATTCCGTGGAGAGGTAGACTGTCAATCAAAACATATAATCCGGCAAAAATTACAAAATATGGAATACTGGTTAGAGTGCTGTCTGAAGCTCGTACAGGATACGTATCCAACTTTTGTGTGTATGCTGCTGATGGAAAAAAAAATTAGAATAGACAGTATTATCGGTCATTGGACCGTATAAAGAACATGTGGGCACCATATATATCAAGATAATTATTATAATAGTGTCAACATAGCTAAAAATTTTTTAAAAAATAAATTGCGAGTGTGCAGGATGATTCGAAAGAACAGAGGTCTTCCTCAAATACTTCAAACGGTCAAGCTTTCAACAGACTAACATCAATTTCTTAGAAATGGTCATATTTTATTACAAGTATGGAATAATGGCAAAAGGAATGTAAACATGATATCGACAATACATTTTGCACAAATGGCGGAATCTAGAAACAGAAGCAGGAGATCAGATTGCCCCATACAGAAGCCTATTTCAATAATAGATTATAATAAATATATGAAGGGCGTAGATCACGCAAATCAATATCTGTCCTATTACTCCATTTTTAGGAAAACAAAAAAATGGACGAAACGTGTCGTAATGTTCTTCATCAATTGTGCACTTTTTAACTCCTTTAAAGTAGATACAACTCTGAACGGACAGAAGATTACATATAAAAATTTTCTGCACAAAACGGCACTTTCATTGATAGAAGACTGTGAAACTGAAGAACAAGGTAAGGATCTACCTAATTTCGAACCCACAAGAACCACATCCCCATTTGATGATCCCGAAAGACTGGCAAATTTCGGAAAGCATAAACTAGTAAATATAGTGACCAGCGGTCAATGTAAAAACCCCTACGACAATGCAGAGTTTGTGCAAGTAAAAAAAAAAAAAAAACTAAGCAGAACAGGTTTCACTTGTAAATACTGCAACGTCCCACTACACAAAGGTAACTGTTTCGAGCGCTATAATAGTTTAAAAAAATATTAAACCACTTCTTTTGTCAACAAATATTGTTATATGGATTATGGTATATTTTACGTAAATAATAAACTGAAAACGAATGTAATAGATAAAATAAATATTGTTTAACACTAATATGATTAAAGTAAAAGATTTTATTCAATTTTGTTACCCTACAATAACACGAAGCATACAATTTTACCAGAGTTTAAGAAAAGCACATATATTCCCGCACGTCAGTCTAGGCCGAAACCGAGCCGGTGTCTCAGACGGTCTGCGGCTGAGCGGGAGGTGAAAGGGCATAGTATGTTAGAACCGCTACGGTCGGTAAAGTGTTAAGAGCAAACGAGCTAGTTATGCAATGGAAGCATGCAAGGGAAAGTTGGTTGCGATTTGGTGATTGGTCAAGGCATCTGCATTAGGGTTTGTAAATCACATGATTAATTTGAATGACTCAGTTTAGACTTACAGCACTATTTTTAGGACAGATAGATGAAGTTCCCAAATGAAATAGAAAATAAAAGAGGTTATTAGAGAATTAAATTTAGAAGTTTGCTTTCATATTTTTTGTCTTACACATTCCCCCTTTCAAAAGAAAAAGGCGAAGCGATAGAGAAGCCTTTTTGAGAGAAAAAACATTAGAGTAGCGAAACATGAGATATATAATTTTGAAACATACAAAATATAATGTTAGCTTTCGAACAATAAAATTATAATACGTAAAATTTTGAGTTCAATAATAATTTTTAAAGTCCTCTGAAGATTTGAGTCCAATCTGTAGAAATGTCTTTTTTCTGGAACATTCACATCACAATTTTGATATTTCAGGGAAGGAGTTTCCAAAACTTTTTTCCACACCAAATCACAATTATAAAGATTTTATATACCCATTAGTTATTACGAATGATCATAAATCTTAATTTTTACACCAATTTTCACATTTATAAGAAATACTTTATCTTTTGAAACAGCATGATTGAAATTGTGGTTTTTACTTTTATTACTACATTTTACAATTTTGACATTTTACACAAACTGGAAGACCCCACGGCTTTCTCCTAGTACACACATCCAGCTATTTGGGCAAATCCCCTTTAAACAGACTCATGTATTAAATTTTCATGAGTGCTTAATGAACTGCGCTACAACATTCCATTATATTTTAGCTTGTGCCATTAGCATTTGACCCATCAATGGCACGCCCTTGCTGCAAAGATGTCTGAGCCATTCAGTTATCACTTTGTTGTGATCTTCACTTCAGCGGAACGGACGACCAGTCCAGCGCTTCATCCGTAAGCGCTGGGGATCAAAAGTGGATTAATCGAAGACCGGTTGGTAAGCGCTGGGGAGCAAACGTCGATTAATCGACGGCCGGTCGGTAAAGTGTTAACTGTGCTAATATGTAATTCCGCTGGCTTTCTTTCTATCTCAACAATATCAAAATCTTCTGTGGAAAGGAGTGCCAAGTACACCAAGTGTGGACTGAAGTGACAAGTGATTGTGGCCACAAATATCAATTGCAAATAAAAATGGAATTAAAACTGCTGTGACTGCCAAGTTCTTTAGATACTACGCAATCAAAATTCTTCTTCAATATGGATCTAAGCATGCATTGACATTGCTCCGCCTTTTCCTTGTGCTCTTATTATTTCATATATATATACATTTTCGGGTACTTGCTATGAGATCGTCTTTCACATCTATGAATTTAAATAATATGAGTGAATTTCAATTCACATCAGTAACAGAAACAGCAAAATGACATAATAATTTAAAATGAATGGAAAGAAAACTGAATTAAAAAAGAAAATTAAATTACAGAATTAGAGCTACGTCATTATAAGAACAGGGTAACAAAAAAATAGATTATTTTGCACTTGTGAACTGCTGAATTAAAAAAATGAGAAAATTTAATCTAATTCTGCTGAACTTTAATCAGAACTACATTAAATGTTGATCTGAAATTTCAAAAATGATACAGTTCTACCATATAAATTTAAATGCATTGTAAATGGCATCAGGGTAAAGCATGATTTTAGAAATGGTGGATTTTCAGTAGAGTTGGTATGTTTCTTCCATGGCTGCAAAATCAGATGTAATAGTCCCCCCCTTTTATTTCATATTATTATTATTATATTTTAACTCATATATAACACTATGCAATTTACATATTTTTATTACATGTATATTCGGCCTCATTTGTAAGCATGCAAAAACTTTCTTTGATAATATGTATGTGTTTTTTTAACACTTGCTCTGAAATATTTTCTTATGCTGAACGGAGATGCTTTTGCTAAGGGCTACCAATTACAGGAAAGAGGAGCTTTTAGATAAAGAAAAGGCATAATAAATATTATATAAGGAAGAGTAGATTTAAAAAATTGAAATATTCTTAAGAACTACTACTTACAAATTAAAGAAAACAATTATGAAATTTTACACTGCAGCAATCATTTTCTTACTGAGCCAACATGTTTCAGGTAAAAACTCAATGTAATATTAAATCAGTAAATGAATAAGAATTCCACCACAATTTTCACTGTATTTTTAGAGGTACATTAATACTCACATGAATTTAGTACAAATTATTTTTCTTTCTTGTATTTAAAAAAATCACAGAAAAATTTTGAAATTTCTGTCATTAAGATACAGTCAAAAGTCATTAATCCGGACTCGTCGGGACTTCGGCGATTCCGGATTATCGATTTTTTCCGGATTTAGATCATCAGTTTTAAATCTGGTATATGATGCAGCAGAAAATTATAAAATTAAAACCATGAAACCGTAATTTATGAAATAAAGAACAATTATGATCTAAAGGGCATCAAAATTTACAAAAAAAAGCTTAATATTTATTTGTTTACTTTATTAAACATTTCTTTCAATAAGTTGTTTAAGTTGCTTCGTTTTTTATGTGATAATACATTCTCTTTAATTCTATAAACAGACATAATTTCTTGTTCAGTTACAAAGTTCCGCTGTTCAAGTCCTATAATTGCTGTGTCGAGAATACCGACTAATTTGTCAATTGAAATTTTTTCGTTTTCAATAACCTCTGTCACTTTTTTCGCTATCGGAAGCGAATTATAATGATGAGGAATTTGATTTAAATCATATTAAAGAGGAGTACATTGAGATGAAATACTACTACATTTAAGGAATTATAAGCCAAATAAAATAAAAATATCTGCCCTGAAGATAAGGCTAGTGCTGACAGATCAACTTCCAATTCATGCGCGCGGCGGCGGTTAAAGTTATAACAAAGTGTTTTAAAGTTTTTAGATAAACAAAGGATATGCCTTTATCCATTTTTTGCAGCAATTCCACTTTTTGTTTAATAGACTTCGAAACACACTTTCGCTTTGTAGATCCTTTACATATTAGTAAATATATATCAGAAATTCTATTTGACATAATCGAAAGTTCAAGCTTACTTTTATAAAATTGCTCTAACAGACTGCAAAAAATAATAAGCCGAATCCAATTCGAAGATTAAGGAACAGTGCAATCTGCAACATTAACTGAATTAGATAATTTTAGCTTAGCTTATACCGTCCATTATACATTAAACGCGCATTCCTAAACGTATTTTTCGCACGCCTATTCGCAGACGTAAAGGTCTTATGCGCATGCGCAGAAAGTTTGTAGCTTTGAGGTCCAGATTATGGGTTTCGAAATTAACGACTTTGACTGTACTTATTTTTTATTTGAAATTAAAACTGCTATTCAGATAGTGAAACTAAAAGTCAGTAGCATTTCTTAACTTTTATATTCACAATCTAATACATAAAAAGATTTGCAGTAAATTCTTCATAATCACATGCAGTGTTTTTTTTCTGGTTTCATGGATATTTACGGATTATGAAATTTATAATTCCTGATTTAAGATTATTAACACTATATTTTCTTAAAATGCTTTGATAACAAACAGAAAAAGATTTAACATTTTCCATATAAAGTAATAATAATATAAACCAGTCTTTCAATATTACAAGTAGAAAATAAGTTATTCAGATAAATACAGGTATGCATAAGGGAAAAAAATTAATTTCTTGCCATTTTCCAACGAACTTTCCACCAAGATTCATATAAAATAATGAAGACTCGAATAAATTTTCAGCTCTGTAACCCGAAAACATAAATTAAAAAATATCAAATAATTAAAAAAAATAATAAGTTATACAAGTTAACTTTCAGAGATTTTATACAAATACTTAATTTTTACAAACCTTAATCCATTTAGTTCTCCCAACATTAGAATGGCAGTTTTACTAATCACAGTTCACAGAAGCTTTTGTTATGATATAACAGTTTTGTAATTCATTACAATATAATAGTTTTGAAATACACAGCAATAAAATTAGACAAAAAAATTATGAATTAAGAATTTTAAGATTACCACTACAGATGATGTGTAAAATGCCACAAATTTGATGTACATACCATGAAGAAGAAATTTATAAAGCAAACATAATAATTCTACAAAGTTCCTGTTAGGTTAGGTTAGCTTATTTGAATAAGAGGGGGGAAAAAAACAAAAAAAAACATTAGGGTTATCTGCAGCGGAGACAAGAATGCATTCAAGAAGTACTTTTTAATAGAAACTGGCTCATATTCACATTACACATGAGGTAAACTACAAAAATCAACCATGCAACCAACTTATTTGTTTGAGATTGAACCCAGGTTGAACTCCCAACCATTCAGTGCACTTAGCCACTGGTTGGACCAGTTTTTATTATGGAGTTACTAATCTCTTAAGAGCAACTGTATTGGTACTGTTTATAAGCTATTTCCTGTCAATCTTAGTATGCTTTATTAATCAATCCATTGAAAGTTTTAATTACTTTAACTACTGGTAATCAGTAAGGAAAATACTGCCAAGCCATGATACATTGTTAATATGAATTACTGGAGACATTTTGTGTATTGGCTACAGTTAACAAGCAGCAACTCATACTGCCAAGTGACAATCTCAACAACCTCTAATCTGCTAAAATCTCTCACTGCACTATATAAAACTATTCTTCAAGTTGCCTATCTGGCAGATCTTTTGCTAATACATCTACACTTACAGAGTCAAAAATCACACAGATTCAGATCCTTTGAGTATAGTAACTATCTGTATGAGGAAAGAGAAAGACCTTCCTTACCTTGTAGAGACATTAGGTATTTTGGAAGCAGAAGATGTGAAAAATGAATAATGCCCTGACTGGGACTCGAACCACGGACCTCTCAAATACGTGCCGAACATGCTAACACCACTACACCATGAAGGAATGCTAAGAAGGTGGGAGAAATACCTTATATACCCCCTTTTAAAGGGTGACTGGGGATTAGAGGATCCATTCTCCAAATCCCAGTGGTGGAGAATCATCATCCACCACCTTTCCTAGTTCAGGCACCACTGTAGAGACATTAGGTATGTTGGAAGCAGAAGACATGAAAAATGCCCAATGCCCCTGCCGGGACTCAAACCATGGACCTCTTGAATAAGTGTCGAGCGTGCTGACCACTACACAACAAAGGCATTCTAAGAAGGCGGGAGAATAACCTTACAACCTCAGCAAATTTTTCAGAACAATTGCGCCACAGCATATTTGATATGGGGGCAATGCTGTCTTCTGCATTAATACATCTATTCAAAAATGTCTATGAAATTGTAAGTCTGGAATTATACAACTCAGTGTAGAAGTTTCTCCACATAAATGACAAAAAAAAAAATTATTACTTTACTGCACAGATATACCTGCAGAATGATTCTGCGCCAGTTTATCAAACCATTTTTTAGAAGAAAAAAATTTCTTCATAACAGGTTCCTTAAATCTTACAAATTATACTGGCAGTCAATTTTGTAAAGGCAGATTCTGTTTCCCCCCCCTTGTCCACATAGAAAGTTTGAAAACTTAGTAAAATTTCCTTTTTCTCTGCCCAAATGTTCAACATTCAAAGACAAACACTGGGGAAGGGACGGGGGGAAAAGAATTCAAATTCATAAAAAAAAAAAAAACATAGTTCAAAAAATCAAAGCAGAAACTAACACAGTTCTAGAGTACACTTTTCAGGACCAATGAAAAATTCATAAAAATGAGTAGGTGATTAAATAGACACTGCTGGCCATCCAAAATGCAAAAGAAGAAGGACAAGATATATCAAGGCCAAATTTATTTCAGAGATTACACATAGCATCAATGTTATTAGATTTGAAATACAGCTTTTTTTGAGATGAGGAAGATGGGAAAATCAGCAATAAATGTTGCCTGCATGTTTGTCAACAACTGCTGATACACACTGTGACATTACGTGAAAGAGACTTTAGATGCCATACTGGGTAATGCCAGTCCACGTTGCCTCCATATGTAGTTCATTTGGTGTACCTGCAGGTGAGGCATGCCAGGCTAGGCATTCTCTAATCATTGACCAGACATGTTTGATGGGTGATAGATATAGAGAATGGGTAGCTAGGACAGGACAACACTGCAATATGGTGGGCTAAGAAGAAAGCTTGAATATTGCGAGCAACATGTGGTCGCACACTGTCCATTTAAAATGTGGCCACAGGCAAGATCTGAATATAAGGAAGGAGATGAGGCTGCAAAACTTTGAGATATAGCATTTACTGGTAAGCATATTGATAATGCATACTAAGAGATGCAGAAAAGAAATTCAGTATCACCCACACTGCAACACTGGGTGCAGGACCAGTATGACAATGCACAACACAACAGTCGAACAGCCTCTCTCTAGGCTGTCTCCGAACTCTAATCTGACCATCGTAGTACCGCAGGCAGAAGCTTGATTTATCTGGAAACACAATGTCATGCTATTCAGACGCCCATTCAGAGCATTACTGCAAATGCAAAACGCTTATGATTTAAAGGTGTGCAATGAAATGGATGCCTAACAATGTCAAATTGTTTGTCCATGCAGAGACCGATTATTGTATTACATACTACATTTTTGTAATATAGTTGGGGATGTGGTAGTGTGCTCCGTCATACATGTTTCATGCCATTTGGTTGCTTCCTTCATTGTGTTGCATTCTGTACAGCCAGCAGATAAAACTGGAAGTTCATATAAACATAAGTCCACTGTATATCAAATATAGATGCTTTTCCTTTCATAAGACTCATTCAAATATTATATAAAAATATAATTACCTGCTGAAATCTTTTTTATCTAAAACAGCTTTAAATTCAACTTCAATATTTCTAAACAAAGAAAGAGGAAAAAAAAAAATCTTTAACAATAAAAATGTATTACTACATATTTCCAAATATAAAACAATACATATATATGGTGAGAGGTATGATTTTGTTGCAATGATTCAGCCATAACTGAAAACTCATGTATAAGCCAAATTTAAAACTTTGTTATGAATTGCCAAAAGTGAGACTAATTGATCATTTAACTTAATTAAAACTGTCATATAAGTGGAAGGTAACTGCCAATTCATCTTCAGCTTCTATTAAAAACAAAATGGGTATCAGCATTATAGAAAGAAAGGTCACTTTCAGTACCAATAGTTTCTTTCTTATTTTTCCAGCTTAAGAACATGCATATAATTTGGCCCTTTGGCAAAAGAATGGCAACTTTTATTTTGTTTTCAGTTGCAGTAACCCTTCCTAAATAATTACATTTCCTTCTCTGTGGTTTCGTTTTTGTTCTTATAACTAAAATACAATTCTTCATTTTGGCAATATAGTGAAAGATGCACAGTAGAAAGGGATTACATATTCTACTAGTTTTAAACCACAAGTATTACTTTTGCTAAGCAATGCTATAGATAGAAGATGGTTTTTACTCAAAAGCAGTTGCTACTGGCAGAGGCTTTTCACTTAACAGTATCGACCAAGCAGTTAAAAAATTCTGTTGTCATTCCTTTGTTTCGATTGATTAGCTATAAAATTGTATTTCTTTTACAGAAATTCAACTTTCGTGTTGTTACTCCTTCTATCAATAAAATTCACAGTTTCATACTTAAAAGACCACATGCCAGATATGAGCTCCTGGTATATACAGGATTCCTTGACAAAGTGGTTTAATTTACATAAATCAAACTAAGACAGCCTAAAAATTTTGCACTAAGGAAATGAGCATATGTTAGGAAAAAGGAAATGGCATAATTTCTAGTAAATAAGCCACCCTAGCCTATACACCACACACATGATAATTGACTAAAACAAAATGAAAGTTCATCGAATAAGCAGCACTGCCGTACGCCATAGCAAAAGCAAAGCATTCCAAAACATGGCACTTAATATTCATTTATTCAGTAACTTCCTGCCATATTGATTAAATCATCATCGATAATAGTTACAACATAAATATAATCAGTAATATATAAATAAATAAGGAAGAAACATCTTACCTTGAACTTGCCGAAAGCAAACTCTGATGATTTCTAATAGATATTAGTTTTATGGGTTTGGTAAACTTTGTTTATCACCATAAATTAACATATTATGGAGGGGGGAAGTAAATTAGATAAACAAACAAAATTTTTCAATTAAATTAAACTATGTTTATTTATACAAAATCTTCAAAATCCAACTCATCGATGTCAGAATTAAATAAATTTAACAAATGATCATCAAGGTCAATTTCATCATTCTGTTCTAAATCCACTTCTTTCAACATCACTATCTTCACTTTCATTTTCGATAATTTCCGATTTAATAAAAGCTGATACCATCGTATCAGCTTGGACTGATTGCCATGCTTTATCGACCCCTGAGGTAGCCTCCTCATACGAAGCTGTTCTCATTTGTTCGGAACTCGTGCAGGAATGGAGTCTGCTTTGCATCCATTCTTTCCACTGCTTTCACTGTTCATGCTTGAAAATTTTATTGATAGTGAGATTTAATGGCTGTAAAATTTTTGTAAGCCTACCTGATATCATTGAGACATAAGTGCTAAGTGTTTTTACTTCAGATCTTACTGTATCCGCTAAATGGGATCGCTTTGAATCGAGAACGACGAGTCCTCAGGGTTCGAAAAAAGCACCTTTCCTTTTTCAATAAATTTTTCCCAACCAAAACAACATCACTTCTTCACACATCCATCCTTTTTCATTGGTGCAAATAATAACTCCTTTAGGGAAGTTTCCTTTCGGAAATTTTTTTTCTTTTGAAAATTATCAAAGGGGTTAACTTCTCTCCATTGGTGGCACAACCCAAAACACAAGTAAAAGAAGCCTTTTCACTCCTGGTTATTAACACAAATAGCTTTTCACCTATTGAATGAACAGTTCTGCTTGGAGGGCAGTCAAAAGTAACGTGCAATTCATCCATATTAAATATTTGCCCTCTTTTCAAATTTTGTTCTTTAATTTTCTTAGATGTGTACTCTAAAAAAGCTATTTTTTTTAAGCCAGTCCACGGGAAGCTTTTGTCCAAGTGTTGTTTTGGTCCTGACAGATAATTTCTTTTGCTTCATGAACCTGAAACACCAATTAGGTCCTCCAACAAAATTTTTAATACCCATTTGTTTAGCAATTACCTTTGCTTGAAGGCGAATTCAAACTGTTGATACTGATAATCCACTTTCTCTCTGCTCTACTGTCCATCTCTCTAAATTGCCTTCCATAAGAGGCCAGGCTATGACACCAGTTTGATGAGATCTTTTATTCTTAGGTATTCTTGTTTGGACTTCGACCACCGAATGCATCACCCATCAACTTGAATTTCTTTAGTCGCAGCACAAGTTGCAATTTCGATCGCTTTCTTCACTGACGAAAGTTTAAAAAGCCAGCTGTATAACTTTTTCTTCGAGTGGAAGCCATAATAATAATAATATTTTTAAAGCACTAATGATAACGCAAGCTACAAGCCAGTAAAAACGTGCAAGAATGAACACAGCATTTAGCAAGTAAATGTAGCTGTTTCCATTAAAACATAAAGTCATAGGAAAATGCAGACAAAACCATGGAGTTTAGCAGAAACTACATGCATTACAATGTCTTTATAGAGAGTGCCACCTACTTTAATTAGGCGAGTTTGAACTTGCCCTGCCTTAGCACAATCTGAGGTTAGAATATTGCAGCGAATTCTTACAGTTTCGCTTATGTATAACTTATGATCTCAACTAGAGAAGTTTTAAGGACAGAGGAAAAATTAAAATTCCCTCAGATACACCATTCCAGCAGATACACTGCAGACCTAAGTTTTCAACTTTTAAACACGCATAAGCCATGGCTTATCTACCCGAATTTACGGTATATAAATCCGCCATTGCCCAACACTATTAGTCAGAAAAATCCCATTTTTTTTTCACTTTTTCAGCAGCTAAATTATTCAAAAAACATCTTCCATTGGTGAATTAGATTATTTAGAGGCATTTCACATTCATAAAAATCTTTCAGTTCTCGTTAATGATCTCATTTCCAATTCATATTTACCCTCAGCTTTTAAGAAAATAATAAGTTTTCATTTTTCATCAATAGACAGTGCCAGCAGTTTGATCCTTTCTCTCACTGTTACTGCCTGAGCATGGGCTTCTTTTTCATTATTTGCACTTCTGCAGCTGAAGAAGCAGGTTCGAAGTTTCAACCTTCAAAACTAATACTGCAAATTTAAGAATATTACTAATTGATTCTTGTTGCCTTAACACTCTAATGATCATTATTCAAGAGGTTATGTTAACTCAGATCTGGGTAGAAGTATCACCTATTTTCCTGTTTAGCTGCTGATGGGCTCTTAATGTATATTAGGACTAAATAAAATAAAAATATTAAGTCAATTACTAAACACATGTTATTGTTTATAACAATCAAATTATTTGTAAATCATTTTGAACTTGTATGCAAGCCAATATCCAGATTTCAGTAGCAAAATATCTGCTAAAAATCTATGACTTATATACAGTATTATTATTATTTTTTTTGATTAAAAAATTCAAAATATATTCCTATTGAATACATAAATTTTTACTCCCACGGATCATTAACATTTAGAATTTATCACCCAATAACATTTGATTACATAAAACAGCTTTTTTCTTTGTTTTGTTTTCAAAGACTAAATGAAAGACTTGAATAAAAATGGTATAATTACATGAACACTTTTAACAAAATGTCACATTCATCAACAATATAAAAAATGATGAGAAACTGAAGATATTTTAATTGTACACAATACCACAATTGTACGCAATAAAAGATTTATCAAATCCTGTCAGGAGTATATCTTTGTAAAGAAACGAGAGAAAATACAGTTTCAGGAATATATATACTATATGGAAATGCTTAGTTCATGTAATGAGCACATTGTTGCAGTATACTAGCTCTAGATGAATTAGTAAAAATATTTTCATCCTTGTCCTCATCAGATACTCAATGCTGTGAACCTTTTCAGAATGAGTATAACAAGTTAATAAAATATGAATCATGTAAAAAAAAAAAAAAAAAAAAAAGAGTATTTAGAAAGTATCAAACATGTCATTTTTTTAGTGAATATCATATTCCGCTCTTTGAGAATGCCTTCTCTTTCAGTACTGCTAGATTTAGAAGTTACCTAAACTAATAGAAATCTCTCATAATATGGATAATTAAATTCAATCATATTGTAGTTGGTATTATTATCTATATTGTATTTCAGTTGGTGTTGTATTTATGTTAAATAATTTTCTAAATAAATGTTATCTAATTTTCAGCCTGTGTGAAGGACAGAATACTCCTAAGTTTCTCCAATACCTGAAAGTAAAATGTGTCTAGCAAATAATGAGCATATTTGCAAGACTGAAACACACCTACAAACTGCTAACATGTATTTGCTTCTATGGTGTTGTCTAAACAGGTTTTTTAATAATGACATATAATGGTTTTCAACAAAATATTAATTTTTTTGTTCTAATGTGCAACTGATGGTAGTATATATAAGGAACCATAAATAGGAAATGTGGTGCAAATGCAATGCATGATGTGTAACATTAAAGAATTTAAAACTAATTTTATGCAAAATTTGCATAAATATTCTCTATTTACTTTGCTTTTATATTTATATCCTTAACAATTCTCCCCCGCAACTGCAATATACTAAAAAAGAGAGCAATATTTATATTTTTATTATAGAAATTGTACTTTTAGATCATCGGTCTCTCAACAAACAGAAGGATATTAATTATAAATACAAACTACTGAAATTTAACAATTTGTTTTCATTCCTTACTCTTTGTTACAGATTTATCAAACTTGGTTAATTTTTTTTAACAAGTTTAAAAGTTTTAAACTATTTGAGACTTTTCTGTCACAAATGCTCTACACTACACAGTACATGCCATTTAGCAAGCTGAGTTTAGAAATAAAAGTATGTGTAGCTAGTCTGATGTCCTAGACACTTTGAGAGTATTAACTGAACTTTTCCCAAAATTCAAACTATATTTTTAGGAAAAAAGCTGAAAATAATTTTTTCTAAAATTCTAAACTAATATTATATAATAGCTTGGTTCCCTCTATTAGCTCTCTAGGTTTCTAGGTAATAAAAAAAAGTCACCAAAATACATGTCTGACTTTAAGATTTCAACAGAGATGAGGAGGAGCTGCCTACCTTGTAAAAGGTGGGATGAGCTGACCTTCTCTTAAAATGCCCTAATAAAACCCAGGCGAAGTTCTTAGGAGTTTGTTGTGCAGTTACACTTATCCATTATAGGCTCTATATCAGATTGTTTGGCAATAGTGCAATATGATAGTTTTACAAGTTTCTCATCTAATTTTTCAGGGGCATTCTAAAATACTTTAGTTACTTAAGCTTTTCAATTAGTTGAATGCCAAATAGTCAGGCTTTTACTGTATTTTAATTGAAGAAACAAATTATTATTATTATTACATTAATGAAGACATTTAACATTTTCTGAATATGTGTGAGGTTTCATTTTAAAGTAAGCATGAATAGTGAATCTCTGCCAACTCTTTGCTTTTAGATGAATTCATTCTTATGAATCAATAAATATATACAGTGGTTTCCAAAACAGGAACAAACAGGAAACCAAATGGTAACACACAGAGTATGCAAACAAACTGGATGAAACTTGATACAGTCAAAGTCTGAGATACGAACTCATCAGGACTTTGGTGATTTCAGATTTGGAATTTTTCTGGGTGTTAGACATCAGTTTAAATTTAATAAGATAACATGTACAAATTATAAAATTAAAAATATGAAGTAGTAGCTTATGAAAAAATTTAATATTTATAACCTTTAAAGGAATGAAAATTGACGACCCCCATTTATTTGTTTGTTTTATTAAACATTTCTTTCATTGAAGTTGTTGAAAATGTTTCATTTTTTGTGCTAATACTTTTTTTTAAATTCTACATAAAGGCATAATTTCTTGTTCAGTCATAAAGTTCCATTCTCCAAGTTCTGTAATTGCCAAGTCGAGAACTTCCACTAAATTGTCAATCAAAATTTTTTCATTATGAATAACCTCTCTGCCACTTTCTTCACTATCGATAGTGATATTTTCTGGATTTAGAGCCATACTGCACATTTCGTTTATTTGACTGATGATAAAATTTCTGTTACATCATTTTTATTAATTACCACCTCTCCACAAATTCCAGTAATTGGAAAATTTTGCTTTTTATTTGTGATATCTGAAAACCTTGAAATTCATGGGCATCACCATAAAGCTTGGCTAGTATTTACTAAAGATATGTTGTGCCACAAAATTTTGTCTTGCTTCTATTGCACTTTGATGAAATTAAAGTTGTATTGCATTAGTTTAGTTATAATACTTACACCTTTCTTCTTCATATGCTTATCTGAGTCCTGAATAAATAAATTCTCTCTGATACTTAAAGGCCAGCAAGAGATAATTTGCAGTCTAGTGCAGTCTCTGTGTGTTCGAAATTCTGAAACTTTTATAGCTCAGTGCCTTCCTTAATTTATAATTATTTTGCTTTACCTTGATTTTGCTGCTTAGTGCTTCTCTAAATTGTAAAAATTTTCCCTACCCTAAACTCAACCACCCAGTTCGGCGGCATCAGTTCTGGACGACTATTCTACGCTCCGAGAGTCATCAGCAGTTTGTGGGCCGCCAGATGTCACTGCTCGTGAAAAACAGATCTGCCTGACATCCCACATTCTCTGAGAACAGAAGTCGTTGAAAGCACGGGTAAAAGTGTTGCCCCATCGTCGATCAGGCTTGTCTAGTTGACGTTCTAAGTGGATAATGGCTTTGTATGTGTTTTCGCTGCTAATTTTTTCCTATTTAAACGAAGAATACAGTCATAGATCTCTGAATCGGCAGCAAATTTATAGAAAATATGTTGATGCTTTTGCTCTGCCAGAAGATGTTTTCATTACATACTTCAGATTGCCAACATTTATAGTTATTTCAATTTGCGATGACCTGAGAGAGCATTTAGAGCCACATTCAGAAAAGAACACAATTTGTGCTGAAAGAAAGGTTATTTATAACTTTCTCTGAAATTATAGATATATATTGTAATTATGTAGTTTAAACATGTAGAAGATAATAAATATTTATTTAGCACATAATCCTTCTTCTGTTAATAAAAATACAAACATCCGAGAAGTGTCTACTCAATTTATGTATAGCAAGAATTAAGATTATTTTAAAATATGACAGTGGAAAACCTTATGAACAATATTGTGATCACAATAAGGAATGTAGTTCATTATTATGCGAAATTCTCACTACTGTAAAATAAAAATGAAAAAAAAAAAAAAAAAAAATTATAAAACTATCAAATAGTTTTTTCAGTAGTAGTACTACTACTAGTGTGATACCTTTAAAAATAATTTTTAGCGCAAATGGCCTTAATCCAGAAGGGCTATTAATTTTGTTTTGACATTTTGTGGCATTTCACTTTTCAAATTGTTGCCACCAAATATTATTGCACTGTATTATATTTAAAGAAATTAAATAATGAAGAATCTGCAAAACTGTATGAATGTTTCTTGTACTGATAAAACAACGGTACCTAGAGCCATCAAATTTTGCATAACGTATGTCTGCACCCAAATATGGGTATCTGGAAGCCCGAATTTGGAACTGGAAATTTGTTTTATTATCTACTTCATATTTTGTAAAGCATTTATGAGTGTTTGATTAAGAAACTCAATCATTTCAAAGAGAGCAATGGCAACACTGTACGGGGAAAGAAAAAAGAAAAGAGGAAAAAAACATTTTCATCTCATCTTTTGACTTCATGTGGGTAGCATATGCAAAGAATTTATTTATTCACAATATCTCAAATGCTAAGCAACTTACACGATAAATAAATAGGAACACAGAAATAGAACATAAAGAAAAATGAGTTGTATAGCATTAACAAATCCAAAATTTTTGTTCTAGCACTTTTTTATAACTGCTAGTAGTGTTTTTAATAAAATTTCACATACAGAAATCATAATATCTACTGAACATAGGGATTAAATTTAGCAAAATCCTTACTTGCCATTAATTTTGCAAATAATGCATTTATTCATCTTCATTTTATATAAAGCACAAAAATTACTTTAAATAATGATATATTTCTGGTCTTATAATTCAATTTTAAAACATACACTTGTGAAAATTTGCCTTTAACCCTCTCGGAATTATGTACAGAAAATTCCGTATAGAATGGTGACTTTCGTATTCATTACACATAAAAATTTCTGCCAGCTTTAAAGGTATTCAATTTCGAGTTGAATGTATATTGAAAGAAAAGGAATCATGGTAAAAAGTGGGAGAGTTGTTTTTTAATTATAATCAAGAAAATACCATTTACTCATGACATTTTGAGGAACTTTGAAATTTCAGGGTTAAACCCGTAATGCTCGGAGGGAAAAGGAAGAAGTTGCAATGATTCAGGAATTCAGTATGTTGCTGTATGCAAAGAAAGCAGTTGTTTTGAATATATTCTTAAAATAGCCACAAAATTTTCAGCAATGCAAAAAAAGTAAAAAAAAAACAATATATATATATATATATTTGTAAATAAGTTTACTAATTAATTTTTGGGATTAATACTTAATTAGAATGTGAAATAGGTATGTAATAATTGTACAAGTATAAACTTTTTTGGTATTTTCTCATTATGCACCTGCCACGCATTTTGACAGTACTACTGTAACAATATGTGCGAGCATTTAATTATTCTTTTATACATGCACACACAGTCTCCAGAATATGCATCATTGACTCTCTGCATGTATTTGGCTTCTCTTTAACAGGAGCCAAAACATGTGGTAGGTTCATAACAGAAGAGTACCAGTTTTTTACTCCAAATTTAAATCATCTTTTTTTTTTTTTCTGTAAAGATTCACTAAACGGTGTCAAAGGCTAGTTGTGCTAATAAATACCAAAAATTATTTCCTTTTATACTAAAACATTTTGATGCATTTTTTTCGCCCTCAAAATATTTCACTCTCATTTATCTCTCTACGTTTCACTTGTATGGGCTCTTTTTTTCGTCATCAAAAAATTATAATAGCCAGGTTTTTATAAATCTTGGTAAAGTAACACACTTTTAAGGTAAGTGTGTTTTAGCACTCGCTTATGAGTGAACAATCCAAATTTCATGTAAAAATTAAAAAGAGAAAAAAATGTAAAAATGCCGAGAAACTTGACCTTCCAAGACTTCTCTAATTTGTAAAGCCTTTGGTGCTAAGTTTTGCAGATTATCTTATTGAATTATATTTAGTATATTAATTAGGATTAATTCAACATCCTATATTCATGTATTTTATTATTGTTGATTTATAACAGAATTTCTCCCAACATCATTAATTATACTGAACTCTAACAATTTACCAATATTTTTACTCTAGAGTTGAGAAGAAAATGTTAAGAAGAATGTGAATACTTACATATCTATATACTTTATATCTTCTGTACAATAAACATCAGGAAATGATAGCAACAACTTCTCTATTGCTACCTCAACCCAAGGAAAAAGCTTCTTGATCTCTTTCAATTTAAAAAAATTTACTTCTTTCATTTCCATATTTCTGTAACTAAATTAAAATTTTCTTTAGAAAAGTTTTACTTCCATAATCAACAAAAACAGACAACTTGCCAAAAAAAAAAGAGCCTCTACTGTTATATGTGCCTAATTTCGTCAAATGTGGCGATGTGTTCTGCGCTGGTTTTTGGCACGATTGCGTGTTGTATGGCAACCCTGTTGAAGTTGAAAAATCTTTTCCTGGAGTGGTTTAACTGCTAATTGGTTTGAGTCGTGCATGTTTTGAAATGGCCTATGTTGCACTGATAGATGTGATGGGAAGATTTCAGTCGCGCATTTTAAATTCTGTGGAAAGTAAATTTAGTATTAAAAGGTATGTTGTTGGAGTTGTTAACGAGGTTCACGGGTATGTTTATGAGGATTGAAGTGTATTTTTGGAATTTCTGTGTAACTTTTAAAATGGAGTGCGAAATGTGGAGCTGCTATGAGAACTCGGATGAAGAAGGGCGTTTCTGATACTTTTTTTCTGGATTTGCAATCAAATGGTTCAGCAGAGTTTAAAATTTGGATTGTGGTTTTGATGTAGTAAGCTAAATTTGCAGGAAGTTTTTATCGTTGCTTTTGAAATTTTGAATCTCAGAAAGACATGTGATACAGCAAAATCGTGGCACTTTTGTTCAGAGACGTTGTGCGACTGGCGAAATTTTATTCAGGAATGTATTATGGAAAGTGCATTTTATTTTACTGTTTTTATTTTGTAGAATGTTATGTTCACTGTTTTTTTACTACGGATTTTTGTTGTTACTGTTGTTTCTTGAACTGTTTGTAATTTAGTTTAGTTTATTTGGTTGATTTGTGCACAATGCCTAGATTGTGCAATTTGTAGATGTTTTTTTAAGTTTAAACAGGATGCTGTGTACATAGTATTCTTTGAAATTTATTGTTGCTATGTTAATTTATTAAAGCGAGTTGTGCGCAATTCTTAGATTCGTTCGCTGCCTAGATTTTTTTTTAAGCTAAAATATATCGCTGAGTACATGGATTCTTGTAAAATATTTTTGGTTAGAAACTTTATGTTTTTGCTATCTAAATTTTTTGTTAAATTGTATGTTCAAAACATGGTTTTCGCATGTGTGAAAACCACGTTTTTGGAGGCATTTTAGGCTTAAAGTTCGAAATGTACAAAAAATTTAGATAGTAATATGGCAGCATGGAGTTTCTTACCAAAAATAGTTGGTGACCTGAGCGCGCATATAAGAGTAGTTCCATAAAGACAAAGAAGACATATGATTATACTTAATATACATATTTCATAACAAAATTCAACAATGAAAAGAAAATACATGAACTAAAAAATTTACTTTACAGTTACTTACAATCAAACATTCATACAAAATTTATACATATTCAAAAGCTTTCACTTAAGTTACCCAAGTTTCCATTTAACTATTTTTCTCTTACTGTTGCAATAAAACAGAAGATATTATTCACTATATGAATTGGAATAAAATATATACTGGTACTACGCTTAAGGAATTCTGATAATGCATATAAAATCTATCTGTGCAGTGTCATGTTATACAAATGTACTTATTCACTTATTTTGAAGAATATTCTGCCATCAAAAGAAAATGCATTTAAACTAAAATCTTAAATAATAATAATGATGATCTCATAAAAATACGTACAATTTATTTCTTCTCATTTGTTCATGTTAGTGTAAATTATCAGACAGCTGAAAAAAATGAAATCGGTTGGCTCATTTAGTATAAATCTACTACAGTCAAAAGTCTTTAATCCGGACGTCCATAATCCGGAATGATCTATAATCTGGACCTCAAAACTACAAACTTTCTGCGCATGCGTAAACGCATAATACGTTTACGCATGTGCATAATACCTTTACACATGCGCATAATACGTTTACGCATGCAAGTTTAATGTATAACAGATCGTATAAGCTAAGCTAAAAGTATCTATTTCAGTTAATGTTGCAGATTGCGTTGTTCCTTACTCTTCTGATTGGATCCGGCTTATTATTTTTTGCTGACTGTTAGAGCAATTTTATAAAAGTAAGCTTGAACTTTCGATTATGTCAAAAATAATTTCCGATTCTGGAGCTGCCAAAGGATCTACAAAGCGAAAGCATGTTTTGATGTCCATCTAACAAAAAGTGGATAAAGGTATATCCTTTGTTTCTCTAACCATTCCGAAATCTGTTTATGAATTTCACGCTGCTCTGCGGCTGGGGGGGGGATGTCACGGCGCACAATGAACTGGAAGTTGATCTATCCTTATCTTCAGAGCAGATGTTTTTATTTTATTCGGCTTATAATTCTTTACTAAATGTAGTATTTTATCTTGATGTACTCAGTCTTTGATATGATTTAAATCAAATTCCTCGTCATTATAAATATCACGAATACACATCAAATAGTTTTCTGGTTGCAATTTTCTAATTGCGTAATGTATGCTTTACGCATATGTGCGTTGAAAGAAATGTTTAATAAAGTAAACAAATAAATATTAAACTTTTTTTTTGTAAATTTTGATACCCTTTAGATCATAATTGCTCTTTATTTCATAAATTATGGTTTCATATTTTTAATTTTATAATTTCTGCATGCCATCTTACCAGATTTAAATTGAGGATATATAATCCGGATTAAAGACTTTTGACTGTAGCAGACTATATAGGTACTATGGCATTTATCAATGGAGATATATCAAGGTTTCAGCACATCAACAAATTATAAAAATGTTAATATCAGCCTATTTCTTCTTATAAAATGTTTATTCTCTTATTATTTAGAAACACAGTAGCATCTAGTGAGCTGCAAAGACAATCAAAAAGCCATTTTGCACAAAATGAACCATGAACTGGCACCTTTTAAACTTAACTATATAGAGGGAAAGCACTCAGGCATATATGAATACCAGATGCACCTGGGTTTTGTTTATTAACTATTTATACAGATTTATAAATTTTCAGCATCAGTCATGTAGCTTATGCTCAGATAACAACTGAATTTTTACGACACATTTTAATAAGTTCATATCGATGGCTATTTAAATTTAGAGTCATAGTAATAAATATAATAAATAAATAGCAAAGAGAAACTAATCACAGTATTATACATAATGATCTTCAAAGGCAGTTATGAAATACCAAGTCACTAGAAGTGCTGAATACTCTGTAATGTCAAGGATGTAACATATATGCATGCTTATCCCACAATTATATGAATATATTCAGATAGTTATTAAAACCTGGACTTGTTGCAATGCATTTCAGATGGTTCTCATGTTGAAAATTTGTATGATAAAATTAAATTTATTTTGATATTTCTTCTACCCTAAGGTAACTTAGTTCCTTTATTATAAAGTGTTACTTATAACAAATATGAAATAGTTTTATACTTTCTGAATTGTTCTGTATATTATTTACAAAATTAAAATAAATTTTATATCAGTGGAACCATGTCAAAATGATGCATTCATGTTTTAAAGAAATGAAATTTTCAATTCTATATATCTTACATATTAATTTCATACAATATATAATCTTGTCTCAGACTAAAAGAAACAAAAATATTACATTAAAAACATATAACCACGAAATGCAAAAACTAACATCTGATGGGATACATAATACCTTTGGTTTCATTATTCAAGCATATTATCTCCAGTTGAAGCCCCTAATTCAACTCAACTATCACTAAATTGCTTTCATAATATGCTACTGATATCGACACTGTGATCTTCTATAAGCATCACTCCTGTGACATTCTTACAACAGATCGAAAATCATCATGAACATGATACTAAGGAAGGCGTTCCCACACCACTGTGAACTGCATTTGCCTGAGATGACAGTATCTTATGAGAATTATATAGCAATACAAAAAAGCAGGAAAATAAATATTATGTAGCAAATGCTTTATGCAATACCATTTACGTCCAATTCCCTCCTTCCCCAAGATATGCTACGTAAAGAAGATGTTTATAAGGCCTATAATTCATATTTACATACTGATACTTGCTCCAAGCAAGAGCTTGAAAGAGGTAGGATATTATCTACTGCTGAATAGTATCTTCATTTAAAAATGGAAATTTTCGATGCAAGATTATTACAGCTAACAATGATATATAGATGATTGTTTTGCTGAGATTGCTAAATTATAAGAACAAGTGTGCAAAATTTTCGGTTAATTACCCTCCATATAATTACTTTAAGTCGAAGTCCATAATTCATAAGCAAAATGCACCTTGTACCAAAAAAAAAAAAAAAAAAAAAAAAAAAAGCAATTAACTTTTTACATTTGCATTAAATTAATACGCAGTCCATATAAGGTACCTGACTAAAATATAATAGAAATAATAAATAAAAACATAATTAAATACCTTCACAAATCTCTTTTTCCTGATAAAAATATTTATACCGTTTTTAAATGCTGAAAATTTTTAGTAGTTCAGGACTCCAAAATACCATACCAAATAAAATTACTTATCTGAGAGTTAAAAATTAAGGATTCGAGCCCTAAATAGAATCTGCTACAGTTTTAGGAAGTATGTAAATATTATTTTATTGTTATAACACAAATAACTTAATTTCAGTGTAGATATAACTTATAGGGTTATTCGGAAGAAATCATGAGCACTTTTTCGTAAACTACATGGAATTGGAAACTGACATTTGTTATCAGTTCACATAACATCCATTCAAATTAACAATTAGTCACAAAAAAGAAAACATCAAGTATTTCACATCAAAGTAAAACATGTGACTTAACTTCTCTTACCGGTGTTTACAAGCACCAACATGTGCGTTAGAGCTGGAGCAAACCGCATGTATTCGTTATTGAGTAACGGGTACATCGGTTGACTCGAAGTACCGATTCGGTACTCACAAATTCATTTCGTTACTCGCATCTCTTCGTTACTCGCATCTGTCGTACGATGCGGTTTGTTCGAGTACGAATGATGCGGTTTCTATGCGAATACGAATCATGCGGTTGCTGTTCGAATACGAATGATACGGTTGCGTCACAATGCGCTCATATTTTTCATAGATAATTTTGAATTTTTTTGGGCATCGGGCAAACTCTTGTTTACATTATGTGCTTTAGTTGAAATACTATTTAGTTGTTGATATTTAAGAAAATGAGCAATTTTGGAGCGTGCCATAGTCAGATTTTATTGATTTGAAATATTTATATACTGTACTTAGGTATTGTTTATATAAGAATATGTAGGTTAATATAGGTTCGTTACTTCCTTGTATCAAATAAAATGGCAGTAATTATTGTAATCGAGAAAACTTTTGGGTAATCATATTTTAACGGAAATATCCGTTTTTGACGATTACGGAATCCATGTGAATTATTTTTTGGGGCTGACGTCCTGTACGTACGAACACAATGAAAGGACTCTCTCTCATCTTTTTTTTTTTTTTTTTTTTTCAAAAAACTTATTGTTAAATGTAATCCCATTTACTCTAAGCTGATACTTATGACTAATGATTATGACTCCTAAGTTGATACTTGAAAGGGATTTTTTTTCGTGATGTGTAAGTACGTATGTATGCATTTTGCATATCTCAAAAACGGTTAGTTATAGAACGTTGAAATTTTGTATATGGGTCCGTTATAACATCTAGATGTGCACCTCCCTTTTTATTGCAATCGGTAATACTACCAAACGTAAATATGTATATATATATCAAATAATTATAATTAAATGTAAAGTACATATATATATGTCCTTATAATTAAATGTAAAGTACACACACACATATATAAATATAAAATAAAAGCCAAGTAAGGCGAAAATAAAAGCCTTGGCTTTTATTTTATTTAATTATCACTAAATAAGTTACTTGACTTTTATTTTTCGCAATCATTGGTTGTAGTCAGGACTTAATTTTTAAAATTAGAAGTGCTGGAGCTCTATGGAAGGCCATCAGGAAAGATGAATAAATAAATAAATAAATAAATAAAAATAAAATAACTATTACAATAATAAAATAATTAGCAACTAGAATATTAAATGATTATTATTATAATTCAATAAAAATTTAAAGACAAATGAAAATTTAATTAATTCTTAAATTAATGATGAATAACTAAGTAATGAAATAAAATACCAGACATCGTCTTGTTTGGGGGCTGTGGCTAAAATTGCAATTTAAGAACTAAGCCGAGCATTAGCTAAATTTAGGCTTTTGATGAGCAAATAATGTACTGTTTACCAGAGTATAGATAGAAATTTGGTTATGTAGCCCATTCTTCTAAAACGACGTTTCGTAGCTACCTTCCACCACCAATTCCCTTTTTTTTTTTTTTTTTTCCAGTTTCGGTTTATTCGGTTACAGCAAAGCACACTAGGGCTATTGCCTACGGGGAGGGAGGCCTTCGTGTAGGATTTTTTAAAGGGAACTGACTCATATGCAAGTTACACACGGGAATAACAATGAAAACGCCCGTGCAGCTAGCCGTTAGCCGGGAATTGAACCCCGGACCGAACTATTAGTGCTCAGCGACTTTACCGCTCGAGCTCTGGTGGGCTCTTTTTTTTTTTCATTCGCTGTTTGAAAAACGGGTGTTCACTTTACGATAAAGTAAGCACCTGTTTACTTCAATTAAAATGGGTTAGACGATATGACTCTTCCTACTTTAATCTCACTTAGCTTTTGATTTCTAATATTGATTCAATGTTTTCTGTAGACAAAGTATTCTGATTAGAATAATAGATTTCAAACATGTTCAAAAGTTGTGTATCTGAATATAATTAGGTTTTTATAACATAGGGCACATTTTATTAGTTTCACATAGTTCTAAAGCAATTGAACCACAGCATCGCTGTTTTGAAAGAAAGTAAAATGTGAGAAATGTATAATGAACATTAATATACAGGCTTTATTAAAAGTAGTCAGCCTTTTAAAACGTGACCGTCTATGCTTTTAGAGGATTTTTGGAGCTCTGTGCATTTGCTCTGGCATCATCAACGTATGTTTATGTTCTCAAAAATACAGGTTTCTTTCAGAAAGCGACCTCTTAGAAGTCGTCAATAAATGATTCAGTATAGTTATTTTCTAATAGACCATAGAATAAATTTATTTTAACGTCAATTTAAAAATGGCTGCTTGTACTAAGAGTTAAGAGCAATAAGACTCTAATTTTTCTTTCGCAATTAGCTATCATGCCAGCTGAATTGTTTTCTGCATAACCTTTATTGTGTATAATTGAAATATTTAGCTATGCATTCAACAAATATACAACAAATGTAAGACAAATCATTAAAAAAATTAAAATTTGGAACATTAATGATAATTTTTTGTTATACATAAAATATTATTAATGAATGATGAATTTATATCATATTATATATAAATCAAAATTTAAACTCCTATTCCTTTATAATAAATTGAAGAAAAGCTATAAAGTGAATTAATTTTTAAAAACAAAACGAAAATTAAAAAAAAAAAAAATTTCATATACCTAGAATCTAAAAATGACGAATACTGAATTTTACGACTCATGTGTGTATGGGGTGTATTTAATTATGGCAAGGCACACTATGGCTATCTGCCTAAGGGGGATGCCTTCGTGGAGGACTTTCTAAGGGAAACTGGCTCGTATACACGTTACACATGGGAAAACCACGAAAACACCCATGTAGCCGGACCGTTCGCGGGATTCGAACCTCGGACCGAACTACCAGTGTTCAGCGACTTTACCGCTCGGCCGCTGGTGGGCCGTTTTACGACTCATATAATAATAAATGCATATTCATATTGTAACAGAAATTTTGTTAGAAGTCTAGCATATGTATAGTTATTTGTGATCTTTTAAAACTGTCGTAACATGATGCATATTTATCATTATCGTGAACCAAAACAGTATGCTTTACATCCTTACAAATATACGTGATAGATTTTAATATTTATTTCTGCATATACTTACGTTTCCCAAAGACACGAAAGCAAGTCAAGCAGATTTTTGTTGTATTAAGCAGACTTAAGTTCTCTGTTAGCTAGTGTAACATAATTTCGGATTTAGTGTAACTATTTCGGATTCTATGAGCCTTCCAGAATTATTAGCAAAATAGTGGAAATCTTTACAAAGTGTTTTTATAAGCAAACAGCAGATGTACACTGAGCAGTGATCAACTGATATATTTCTTAAATGATTTGGTTTAGTTGATTATGACAAAACACACTGGGGCTATGTGCCTAAAAGGAAAAATGCCTTCGTAGAGCACTTTCTTAGGAAAGCTGGCTCGTATGGTACGTGGTAAGCTGGCTTGTAAGCTGGTACGGGAAAAAAAAACCACGAAACGCTTATGAAGCCAACCCGTTTGCCTGAGATCGAACTCAGGTCGGAACTACCAGTGTTCAGCGATTTTACCGCTCGACCGCTGGTGGGCCATTTTTTAAATGAATAAAGGTATACTCATAGCATTATGAAACAACACTGATTGAAATATTTAGTGCTTCACTATTATCTCTAATAAAGTAACATAAAACTTTCCTTACCTTTTATAGATTTCTAAATTTCTTTTAAGTTCTTTCTTAATTCGTACTTAACCTGTACATGTGCGAATGTTTTTATCGATCTATATTGTTAAGTGTAAAAAGCAAGTTGACATTTATAATATAGCATTCCTTGTCTCAACAAATAACAGTCTCAACAAGGAGTTTTTGGAAGAGGGGATGAATCGGGGAAATTTCACCCTTTTCGTCATTAGCGGTTCTGATGAAGGGAATGGGGGAAGCAGCAAACGAAATAACGAATAACGGACAAATAACGAAAGCTAATCTTTAATGCGGTCTCCCAGTTTCTGTATTTGTATTTGGGAAAGTTTTATGGTCATTATGAAAAAGTGAAAATTTGATATGGATTCCGCATGACTTCCTTCTACGACTATTTAAATTATGCTTATTTTTGCTGCACTTCATTTAAACTTATTTCCTCGAATTATTCTAACTCAATTAAGCGATACCCGAAGGCAAGTTACAAATGGCATCAAACATTGCAAATTTTGAAACTAAATTTCCCGGTCAATCTTTGTCCTACGGGACTCAAACTTCTTGTATTTTTATTTTTTCATAACAAGTATAAAACTTTGCCAGATATAAATATAGAAACCAGAAGACGACATTAAAAGTTAGATTTCATAATTTGTCCAAAATTAATTCTTTTTTAAATTTGACATTGACAAAATATGAATATTTTCGTCATTTAAAATACTTCTGTATTTTTGTTGCACCGTATTTAAACTTGCTTCCTCGAGTTATTGACATTAAATTACATTAATTCCATTATCTATTAGAAAATAATTATAGCAAATCATCTATTTACGACATCTCTAAGAGGTCACCTTTTAAGAGATCTCTATTTTTGGGAACATAAACAAACATTGGTAGTGAACATCATCTTTTTAAGACCACCGCATGTAAAATCCTCAAAAGCATGAATGATTGCATTTAAAGACGACCCATTACTTTTAATAAGGAATGTAACATTAATCTTAATTATACATGTTTTTGATGTGTGTGCCAAAATAGTGATACCTTACTTCTGTTGCTTTAGAAATGTGTGAAATTAAAAAAATGGATACTATACAACAAAAAATGTTATTATATTCAGATACACACCTTTTGAACACGTCTGAAATTCATTATTCTGCTCAACATAATTTGTCTGCATAAAATATTAAATATATTAAAAATCAAAAGCTAAGTCGAAGTAGAAACAGTCCATCTCTTCTAAACCATTTTAATTGA